AGGGGTCCTCCTCCCCGATCTTGATATGCGGGAAAGCGGGGTCCCCTCCCTCCTTTGAGGTCCCCCACCCCGAGCCCGTTCCACACACTACAGTTGCGGGAAGGGGCCCGGGGTTATAAGAGAGGGGGGGGGGGAAGACGCCACGGCTAAAGAGCACCCACTACCACCCATTGTACACTACTGTACTTACAGCCAAGAAGAACCGCTGCTGCTCTTTCGATCGATATATCGAGACCGGCGAGAGACCTTTTCGTCGAGTAACGGGGCTCGAAAGGGTCCACGTGAAGGGACGGACGGACAGGAAGAAAAGAAAACTAGTCCAAGTAGCGGTGAAAATGCATGTACATACCTGCATCTAGCTAGCTAGCTAATGTTGAAGAAGAATAGGTACGTCATGTTTCTTTTTGGTGGGCACGGCATGCGGGATACATACCTAGAATGAGAACTAGGTGATGACGATGTATGTCTCGGTAGGTCGGCGAGGTAGGTTGAGGTATATAGGTAGGTAGGTAGGTAGGTAGGTGAGGAAAATCTGAGATTGTTTGAGATTGGTATCACCACTTGGCGGGAAGTGTGTGGGGGTGTTAGCGGCAGTACCACGTTACTTTTGCGGAGAGAAGAGGATGGGAGCTCGGGAGGTGAGGTGAGGTGAGGCAAGGGAGAGAAGTGAAGTTAGAAGGACGGAGGTTTTAGTGGATTCGACTAGTAATCTGGACTGACAGTACTATAGGTTGGTCAGATCTTGGGACTAGAAGAAGGAGAGGTGGAGGTAAGCTATTAGAATAGTATCCTACTTACTTTGTATATTCATTTTCTTTCGAAACATAGCTAGAGGTACCCAAGGGAAGAGACAAACCCCGCTGCGTGTTCCCTCCCGCAACTAACTTAACACCACATATACGATCGATCGTACTACCCACCAGGCCAGCCAACCCATGTGGTCGGGTGTAGGTGTATCCCTCATCGCAACCCCACCATTATTCCAACCTCAACCGTCTTGGCAGGTACCAACCCACCCACCTGAACCCAACCTCGACCCTACTACTCTACCTTTGCTCCCATCGACACCTCTATCAATCCATTTCCACCCCTATCTTCATCTTCTGGTAGATATCTACATGAACCAAACTAATGAATAACCTTCCACTCCCTAAACCGATGACGCTCAGCCCACTCAAACACAGCCCCAAAGTCTTTGCACGTATGCTGATATCCCCACCCCGTGCTCCCACTCTCGTCGGGGTACGTGATCCATTCGAGAGTGGTGTCGGCATTGCACATGATGCCCTGCCGGAGGTAGTCCCAGCAGTGTGTCAGATGAGGGGTGTTGACTTCGTCCAAGTTGCCGGATTTGGCGGCAAAGTAGCCGGCGCGGGTCATGTACTTTTTGTGTGTCAGTAGTTGTTGGGAGGATAGGGAGGACAGAAAAGCTCACGAGACAGTGTAGTTGATGAAAAACAGAAATCATGGCGTGTTGTTGCTTGTTGGTTTTATTTAGCCGCGGGAGGTCTGGTAATGCTTCGGATGTCTCGTTGGGGAGGAGGATGAAGCCTTTGCCTTCTGTTTGTTTGGTATTATTCGCTTGTTAGTTATACAACGTTCTTCGGACGAGGACGTTTCAAAATAGGAGACTGAGAGATGAGGATAATGACATACTAGGAATCATGGCAGTCCAAGCCTGATCCACCTCCTCACTGGGTTCCGCTCCATAAATCGTCTGGAACCGAAAGATCTCGGTTCGGAAATCCACTTGGGGCTCCCAGGGTGGTTGTTCGGGGTATTGGCGTGGTGGTTGTTCTGCGGTTGTTGAAGATACCGGCACTGTTGTTGTCATGGGCCGTAGAGTAACAGCCACCAAGGCTGCTAGCAATAGGACGTTGGACAAGGCAAGGAAAAAGGTGGTACATGGAAGACTCAGGATTGCGAATCTGCCTCTTCTCGTAGTCGCTCGCTGCCCTAGAGTGCGTGGAGGGTTGGATTCGAGCAGGTTTTCCTTTTCTTCCATGTCGTCGTCGACCATGCGGGATCCGGAAGCGGAAGACCGGACGGTGGTGCTGCTTTGGTCGTCTCTGTAGTGGTCCATGATGTTGTCTGAAGCGTGGTAGTCGTCGTTATGTCTGTTGGACCTCCTAGGTCAGCTCGTCTCTTAGAAACTCGGGAGAAAGTTCAGTGGAAATCGCCTAGGTAACCATGAAAGTCAGCAATGGCTTGGTGGTTAAGGCCCCTACGGCCTCCATCCCTCGAGGCAATTCCAGCGGCAACCGATGACCGTGGTAGGACTTTGGATCCGGGGCGCGCGCAGTACCGTCTCGCTTGAGGCCCATCTGGCGCCCAGTCTGCCGCCGTCGCCCGCCCGACGGTCCACGTTCAAGGCCGGGCATCCCCATCTTTGGCGCATTCAGCGCTCGCGTCTCGTTTTGGCGCCACCTCCGAGCTTCGCGCCAAATCCGCGGCGAGGTTCCGTCCTGACCATCTGTGTTCTCTCGACTTTGGGGATTATCGCCATTGCGAAGACGAAACCATTGAGATTAATGTACCGCTATTGAGGAATTGGGTGTCGTGTCTGCCTCCGCAAGCAAAAGAACTGAAGCGGGCAGAAGCAAGGACGGGACCCGCAATCAGACACAGGTACGCCCGGGCCCCACTTTTCGGATGCTCCAAGTCGCTGTAAGTGTTAGTCCATGCCCCTAGAACATGGGTGTACAGGGGTCTTGTCACTAACAGACTCAGCAACAGGTTGCATTATTGTGAACTGTCAGCTTTCTGGGTGTCCAATTCAGCACCTCCAGGAAGGAACATGCATGGCTCGACGACAGCGTTCATGATGTTTTTCTCCGTGCTATTAACCCTGGCATCAGTCATAGCGGCACATAATGAGGTCGTTACCGATGACGCATGCCTACAGATAGCCCGTTCATATGAAATTTGGACCAAGAGTGGCGGTACGTGGAAGCAAATCATGCCCATCACTTTGTTCATCCACGAAGCTGACCCCTTGTTGCCTAGGCCATGGAGACTTCTCCAACATCCCAGGACAAACGGCATATGACTGTCTGATGTCCATGCCCTTTGACTCTGAGCGCGCAGTCAAGTTTTTGGATGAGTACCTGAAATATCTCCAGTTCCAGTCGACTCTAGATAGTCTCAAACGTGAGTGACTCTATGAGAAGCGAGTGTTGAATGAAATAAATGACATGTTCATAGATCCGCCATCCGGCTACAAGACACCCTCCATAGATCTTCTCAAAGGTTTCGACAAGATTCGACAAAAAGCTGAGAAAAGTATCTACAAAAGTCAATACGAATTCGACAACGACATCAAGTCCCTCATCCACCGAGCAAACGAAGGCCATTTAGAAATCAATCTCTGCTCCCAGCAAATCTTCCACTTCCAACGCAGCCCGCCTCTGGTATCCATCTCATCAGACGGCCTCGAGTTACCCAAAATCTACACATGGAACGACGCCAAGTTGTTGTATTCCGGAGTTCCAAACACACAAGTATCCCACCTAGTCGCAATCAACTCCATCGACGCCGCTTACTTCCTCCAAGCCCACCTCGCCCTCACCTTCCAATATCACGACCCCGACGCCCGCTACAACCACCTCTTTCCCTCCCCGACCAACCAATACACCGGTCTTTTTACCGGAGGCGGCTGGCAAAGCTACCAAGGTCTCTGGCCAGGATCCGCCCACTACCTCCTCAAATTCCACAACGGCACCACAATCCAAATAAACACAACCGTCACCTGGCCCGCCACCAACGGACCCATGAACTACACCGACGGACAAACGCTATTCCAAGCCGCTTGTCTACCAGACTACGCTCCCTCTCTTTCAAGCTTCTCCCACTCACCCATTGCACCACCCTCTCCACATTTTAACGATAATAACAACAACCCCCTACCAAGCACAGAGGGAATCTACCCCACCCCTATCATCCGCACCCACCAGAACTCGTTAAGAGGGTACTACCTCAACGACGACACCGCAATCTTACAAATCCCTACATTCCAACACACAGCCGGCATCACCTTTTCGCAAACAGCACAAGACTTCCTCACCCTTGCCGCTAACCGGGACAACAAAACCAAGTTGATTTTAGATCTAAGCGGCAATCCCGGAGGGGATGTGATTCCCGGCTTGAATATCTTCAGTATCTTGTTTCCGGATCTCAAAATCCGTACGGCTACGCGGTTTCGGGCGACTGAGATAGTGAACCTTGTGGGTAAGGTGTTTAGTGAGGTTTATGATACCACTAGGGGAAGAGTTACAAATTTGAAAGAGGAGGAGGAGGAGGAGGAGGTGCCGATTGATCCACCTTTTATGGCGAGCGTGGCTGTTAGACCGGATCAGAAGACTAGGTTTGCGGGGTGGGAAGAGATTTTTGGGCCGGACGAAGTAGAAGGAGGGGGAGGGAATATGTCGAGATTACTTGCGCATTTTGATTTTGAGCTGGCTTCGACGGAGACGGATCCGGTGTTTGGGTATGGGCCTTTTAGGGAGATGGGTAAAGGGGGAAGAAAGAGGCCGTTTAAAGCGGAGGATATCGTTGTTGTAAGTCTTCCTTTTTTTTCTTCTTTCCCCTGGAGATGTAGGATTCCTAAGCAGGTAAAGTAACGTAACTGACTGACCAGAAAGATAACAAACGGCGAATGCGCATCCACCTGCGCCCTCCTCATCTCCCTCCTCCGTCGCCAAGGCAAAGTCCGCACCCTCGTCTTTGGCGGCCGTCCCCGACATGCACCCATGCAAGCCGTGGGAGGCGTCAAAGGCGGACAGTATTGGTCTCTCAAAACCATTTACCGTCATGTTTCGCGGGCTGTGGAGTTGGCTATGGGTACCTCTACTTCTACTACTATCCTCACTGAAGAGGAGTTGCAAAGACTGAAGGAGTTGGCGCCTGCTGATCCTGATCCCAGAGCTGCTGTGGGCACCGGTGGGTTCCCGCTGAGGATGGGCTGGAAAGGAGAGGGAGGGGTGAATTTTAGGGATCTGTATTACCTTGATGACGACGGAGATGAAGAGAACAGTGAGGTGGTAAAGGTGAAGGGGAAAAGTATAGGGACGGTTCCGGCGCAGTTTATTTACGAACCAGCCGAGTGTCGGCGGTTCTTTACGGTGGAAATGATGTTTAGGCCGGCCAGGATGTGGGAGGTGGCGAGGGAGGTCATGTTTGGGAGTGGTGAGTGTGTTAAAGGTTCGGAAACTAGCTCTAGGAGTGGAGGGGAGGGGAAGAGGCCAAGTAGGTAGGTAGGTAGGTAGGTATCTCTAGTGCCCTGTATGGATGTAAATGATCTAGCTTCTTGCCTTTTCGCCTTTTCCGTCGCTTTCATATCTGATTTTATTTATCTCTGTCTAATTATCTGGGCTTGGGTGGGTATACTCAAGTCAAAATCATAGTTGCTGAGATCTTGATCACGACTTCAGGTACATGAAATTGATAAAGAATTGCACATTGCTTAAATGAACACTTTGTATTTCCTACTTTCCTTTCTTAGGTTTGTTCCTTCTTTCCTCCCCTCTCCCATCCCAAGCCCCCCTCCCATTGATCCCACTAGATACACTCACGCAGCAAACCCCATATGCCCTCCCACCCACTCCCTAATCCGTTCAAAATCCTTACACTTCTTTCTAATATTAAAATCACTCTTAATCCCACCCTTTCTGCTTTCATCTTTCAGAAACACCACGGGCGTCACATCCGCCGTGCACATGATCGCCTTGCGAATCGTCTCAATGCAGTGATCAATGTGTCCCCTTACCACTTCTTCGGGAGCCCGAAAGGCCGTCACGTTGCTGTAGTCGTAGGCGTCGCGGTACGTGTATTGCCGGACGAGATTGAGGCAGTGTAGTTGGTGGAAGACGTCTAGGAAGCCTAGTACTTCTTCTTCTTTACTGCTGTCGCCGGTATTTGAGGAAGAGGAAGAGGAGAAGGAAGAGAGGTATTTAGGGGAGACGTGGACGTAGGCGCTGGGAGGGGTTTTGTTGAGGAGGGGGAGTTTGGATTCGGGAAAGTGGATCGTTGGCACTTTTTGTTATTCGTCATTAGCATTTGTTTGATCAGTTGAAAAGATTAGGGGTGTACTCACTACGCCACAACTTCAGCCAGGCCTCTTCTACTTCCGGCGTGGGGTGGCCCCGGTAAGGGGAGGGCTGCATGAGGTGGTTCTGGTCGGTGAATTCTACATATTGTAGATCGTCGGTTTCTAGGTAGGGTGCTGGTTTGGATGTTAGTATCATCGTTGTATGAGAGAAGGAACAAAGTAGGTAGGTATGTGCTTACAATACGGCGACAACTGTCTCGCACACGCCAAGTCCGTTGGAAGTTTCCGTGAAACCACAAATGCGTATACAGCGAGTAGTATAATGATTACGGCTTGGGTGATGACAACGGCCGGATGTGATAGTATCGAACGGTGTCGTTTTGGAAAACCCGCTGACCAGAGAGAGCTTGGGGAGTTGGATCGGGTCGGCGTGCCGTTTTCGGATTCGTTAATGGGGTCATACTTCACCTCCTCATGGTCCCTGTTTACCGTAAAAGACTTTTTGAAGATGTTCATCTCTGCAACATTTGTCTACCGAAACTGAAGCTGAGGGAGGGAAAGCCGAAAAGGTTGGTGATGTAGGGCGACGTTGCTTGCAATCGATTTATCGTGCTATTGATAGGCTGGCTTGCTATCATAGGCAGAATGGAATGGTAATATTGAAGACCGACTACTCAACTACCCATCGTTGATGGACAATCGTATGTATCTAGCGCTGGCGGCGTGGTCGTTGCGCCAAATTTCCCCTTTGGTAGAACATGCGCTTCGCACCAGCAAGCCACTTAGTCAGACCTTGTACTCAGCACACGCATTCGACATCTTGTCTCCAAAGCTGGGTCTTGAAGGTCCTCGTGCGGAAATTCATTCGAGGAACATCGTTTACATGCAGAAAACTGCAGCAAGAGATATGACACAGCAGTTTGTGAGATCCTGACACCTGAGCACTTGCCCTAACCCTCATTATCCCCTTCTTGCGCCGAGCCTGATAACAACTCCAAACTCAAACCATGGATGATCCAGACGTTGGCAGCAGCTCTCTGCATGCAGAGAATCTTGAGGAGGAGGAGGAGGAGGAGGAGGAGGATGACTTGGTAATCGCTCCATCCGAACTTGGATCAGAGTCCGATGCCTTCATCAAAGAAAATAACCGAAGGTCATCCTCTCCTACCTCCCCTCTAGAGACGGACCATGGTCGAGAGGACGCCGAGGTTGGACATCTTCCAAGCGAAGATGACGAGGGGATCGATCCTCGACTCAGGAACTATCCCATTCCCCTCGTAGCCAAGACAGTCGACCTACACAACGATGAAACGTAAGTTATCTCCCATCAGTCTCATCTCGCAACCAAACCAAACATTAACAAACCACCTCAGCGAACCCCTCCTAACCATCCGCTTCTGGATCCTCTCCACCCTCTGGGTCATCATCGGCTGCTCCGTCTCCTCCGTCTACTACTTCAAGCCCTACTCCGTTCGTCTCTCCGGCTACGTCGTGCAACTACTCTCGTGGGGGATGGGCGCACTCATGGCGCGTTACTTCCCACAGAAGCAATATACTCTCACGTTACCTATTCTTCATAAAGAAATTGCATTCAACCTCAACCCCGGCCCCTGGAACCCCAAAGAACACGCCCTCGTCATCGTCGCCTACTGGGGCAGCACCTACACCGCCTACGGCCTCGGCCCGCTCTCCGCCATGGAGCTCTACTACGACAAGCGCATGAGCGGGCCGTGGGCTGTTTTGTTTCTCATGACCACGCAGCTGATGGGGTACGGCTTTGCGGGCTTATACCGGGACGTCTTGGTTCGGCCGCCGGGCATGTACTACCCTGGCGTGCTCCCGAACGTGACGCTGTTCAACGCCATGCATCGACACCCGTCCGTGACCAAGAAGTCACTGGGGTTTTTCGGGGTGGTGGCGACGGTGGCGTTTGTGTACCAGTGGTTGCCGGGGTTCGTGATGCCTTTGTTGGCTTCGCTGCCGGTGGTTTGTTGGATGGGATTGGGAAAGAAGGCGGCTTTTGTGTTGGGGAGCGGAACGTATGGGTTTGGACTGCTGGACTTTTCGCTGGATTGGAATTATGCTTCGTTTTTGACCCCGCTTTATACGCCTTTGTGGGCGACGGTGAATCGGTTTGTGGGAGCCGCCGTGGTGATTTGGGTTGTGTATCCCTTGGCCTATTTCTTGAATGTCAATGGGGCTCAGCAGTTTGCGCCGATGAGCTCGGGGACGTGGGATGCCGAGGGGAATCGGTACAATATCTCGCGCATCTTGACGCCGACGTATGAGCTGAACCGGACCGCGCTGGAGGAGTATTCTCCGCCGTATTGGTCGTTCAGTTACGCCATGCACTTCTTTTGGGGGTTCGCTGCGTCGACGGCCGTGTTGACGTATGCTGTCATGTTTCATGGGCGTCAATCTTGGGAGACCCTTCGAAGCTCGCTGCAAACCATCAGCAATCCCTTTGCAAAGAAGAAGAAGAATGTTCAACAACACCGGGCCGAGTTTGACGACCCCTACCTCAAGCTTACCGCCCACCTCCCCCGCGTGCCGCACTGGTGGTATCTCGCCCTCCTCTTTTTCTGCTTGGTGATTGCCATTGCCCAGCTCTCGGGCGGGGACATGCAGCTCCCCTGGTGGGGTCTCCTCCTCATCACGGCCATCTCCGCCCTCTTCACGTTCCCCAGTGGCATTCTCTTTGGCTTTACCAACGTGCAAATCGGCATGGACTACCTCTCCGAGCTGCTGGCCGGGTTCCTGTTCCCCGGCAAGCCCATCGCCGTGCTCACGTGCACTGTGTACGGCCGGCAGATCCTCGAGCAGTGCCTCAACCTGGTCAGCGACATCAAGTTCGGTTTCTACATGAAGATCCCCGAGCGCGAGCTGTTTGTGGCGCAGGTATACGGGACGTTGTTGGGCCCGTTTGTCAACTGGGCTTGTATGCGGCTGATCATCGACACGCAGGGGCCGAAGCTGACGGGCGAGGTGGTGTCGGGGACGACGTGGAACGCTTTGAAGACCAAGAACTTCTTTTCGCTCTCGGTGATTTGGGGCGTGCTGGGTCCGCAGGTGTTCTTTGGGGGCGCGTCGCCGTATCGGTGGGTGTACTGGGGATTTGTCGTGGGACCGCTGGCGGTGATGCTGCTGTGGCTTGTACAACACAGACTGGCGAGGCCCAAGTGGGGGAAGGTCGCGAGCGTGGTCAATCCGGTGGTGATGCTGAACGGGGCAACGCTGTTTCCCATCTATCCGACGACGAACCTGACGACATCGGCGCTGGTGGCGGTGGTGTTTATGGGATACGTGTACAGATACCACCCGGTGTGGTTCCGCAAGTACAATTATCTGCTCGGGGCTGGGTTGGACTGTGGCGCGCAACTGGTGCAGATGGCCATGATCTTGGTGGTGGACTTGCCCAATGTGACCATGCCGCACTGGTGGGGGAATGATGCCGTCGCGGTCGACAAGTGTTATCCTATTTGACTGTGGAATTGGTGGTTGTAGGAGGAAGAAAAATGAATAAATCGAATTCATGAAAGTACGTGGGAAAACGCTCGGGCCTCCTGTGTCAATCTTACATACACAGTACAGTTAAGGTACCTCTATGTATCTCCTCCAACACACATGCATGGCCGGCCTCACGATTCTTGGGTCGAAGTCAGTGGCACACAGTTATGATACATGAGCGGGTACACCCAAGTCCGTATCCTTTTCTGTTCTCCCCTCTCAGCTATCATCAAGGAATTTCCAATGTGTTGGATGCAATGCGCTAGAGAGATACACACACTGGTCAGCACACATCTGCCCTATATATCTCAGACTGGACAGAATTGCTAACATACCTCCATGATAGAACTGATGGCACCGGGCATCCATCATCTTGATGCCCTTGCTCAGCGCATAGATGATCTTGCGGGAGCAATAAAGGCAATGCAAATCATGCGAAGCCTGGTACTTGGTATAAATCACCGAAAAGTTACCCGCCTGCAAATCCGGCACTGCCTCCGGTGGAACTTGCATGGTGGTGTTGCTGTCCCAATACCAAGTCCAGTCCGTCATCATGTCTCCAAAGTTGTCCTTGTACTCCTCAACAACTTCTGGAAAGGCGCACGCTCTGGGAATCCAGGCTGGCATCTGTTGCTCAAATACACAGCCTCTGGCTCGAGCTTCCTCCGGTGAAGTCCCGCATTCCTTCACTTCGCCTTTATGGCTCGGTGGGGTGTCCTCAGTATGGCTGTATCCATGATGTGTGGATGGAGAATGGGAGGACTGGTGTTGTCTTGTGGGGGAGACATGGCAGATGGAGTGACGAGTCAAAACATGAGTCACAAGTGCTGTTCCCACGACTGCTCCCAGCAGCAGCAGCAATGTCCGCAGCCAGAAACGTCGCTTTGTCGAGGGCGTTTCATCACCAGTCTCGTATTCGCACCGCTTGAGGCTCTGTTTGTTGAGCTGTGCTTGTTCATCATCTTCGCTGTCTTCGTCCAGCCGGCCAGGGTCATGCAGTAGCTCTGGCATCTTCAAGGTTGCCATCAAGTTGCTACACCACCGTCGAACGCCGCCCGTTGCCATGGTCTAGGTCTAAAGAGAGGCGTCAGTGATGGCCGGCAGGTTTTCGGTGGAGCGCTTACTGGGAGATATATGAACACGATGACTGTTGGATTTGTACAGGTCTACAACGACTACCTCTACGGTGTTTTCGTGTCCCCTTTTTAGGTGAGTTCATTTCAAAAAAAAAATCAGGGTACGGTTGGTTGCAATATCACTGGCTTGTCCTTGCGCTTTGCCAGCAACCTAAGGCTAGGTCTGTTTGGCGTTAGCTGAATGGTTCTCATCTCTTCTTCCGCTGTTGCGCTTCGTATTTGGCGCCAGTTTAGCAGACACGTTACGGACATCCGTCCTATCAACGCCCATCTCCCGCTCCAGTATCGTACTGTTTTGTACGGACGACAAAGCAGTTCCTTGAGCGGCGCCTCTTGAATAAGCATTTTGGGTATGATTCAAGCTGATATTGTCTACTATTATATAGTGTGCACGATTCGCGTTACACGCCTGCGTACGCCACCAAGAAAAAGACAGATCGTATCCCTCCTGTACCTGCTACAATTACAACCTACAACATCTTGGGAGAAAACAACAAGGTGCTACACAACACCATTCTACCTTGCACGCCTTCCTTCTCCTTCTCATCTTCAAATCACAAACCATTTCTATCCAGGCCAACACAATGGTCACCCCAGAAATGGACTCCGAGGAAGAATCCAAAATCACCACCCTCATCACCTGCTTCCCCCACGATCATTCCTTAAGAACGCTTGTTCAAATCCCCCGCTTCCGCCAACGCCTCTCTATCCTCTCACAATGGTCCATTCCACCCGGCAGCCGCGTCCTGGACATTGGCTGCGGCCAAGGCGACTCCTCCCTCGTTCTGGCCATGGAACTCGGTCCAACCTGCCACGTCACCGGCATCGACACCGCGCCGCCCGACTACGGCACGCCGTTGAACATCTCCGAGTCCCAGGAAAAGATTCTGCAATCTGCTCTCGGTGACCGTCTCTCCTTTCATAACCAAGTCGACGCCGCCACCTTTTTCAATTCTACCTCTACCTCTACCGCTGGTGATAAAGAGTTCGACGCCGCCACAGCCTGCCACTCCCTCTTCTACTTCCCCTCTTCCGCCTCCGTCGTCTCGCTTTTTCAGGAACTGGCAGCCGCCAACATTCGTAAGGTCTACGTAGCCGAGTACGACAGCAAGCAAACTTCCTTCCCTGGCACCCAAACGCCGCACATCCTCGCTGCGAAAGCACAGGCTTTGTATTTCGCTTACAAGTCCGAAGCGGACTCACGTCGCAATAATCCCCTCAATAACAAGGAACAGCAGCAGCAGCAGCAGCAGGCCTCCTCCTCTAAGAAAGAAGAGATGCCGCTGAATGTCCGCGCTGCGCCCGACGTCGAGGCCATCATCAAGGCGGCACAAGCGGCGGGGTTCAAGGTAGCTAGGGAAGGCAAGTTCACGCCCAAGGAGGAGTATCTGGAGGGACACTTTGAGACGAGGTGTGTGCGGGGAGGGAAGTTTGAAGAGAGAGTGAAAAAGGAGGGGTTCGCCAAGGAGAGAGAAGAGGAGATTTTGGGGGTGGTTGAGGAGGTGAACAGGGCGTATGAGGAGATGGAGAGGGGTGGGGTGGACAAGGTGAGGTGTATGGATGTTTGGTGGGCGGTGTTTGCGTTGGAGTAGGAGTACTGTGAGGTAGCTTCTGTTGGTGTTGGGTGGAGGTATATTGGGATGTATGTGAATTTTGGGTTTTGAGTATTGCCAATGAAATTTGATGTTTTTTCCTACCTAGCCACTGCGTGAGTAGATACCTGGGTCATATCAATTGTTTGAATGTGATTACCGAATCTTTTGTCCATCTGGAGATCCTTCTACCTGCAGACAAAGCTGTTATCGATACCCTACATTGTACCTCTACTTTCCTTATCAGCCGCATGAAGGTCGTGAGGCGCAACTGGCGCAAGCTAACGAACCGCATTCCATTCACCCATTATGGTAGAACGTATCACATTCTACGGCGCCGGGGGGTGAGTGCCCCTGGGTATTCCAAAAATTGTAAGACAAATTCCCATTACCTTACCAGCCTTTGCTCCTTAACTTTGTGTACCTCATACAACCCCATTTTTCACAACATCTTTCCTAACATCCTCACTACACCCATCATGGGACGCTCTGGCCCCAGCAACTCAAAGTCTTCCATATCTCCGACTTTGCCGTCATACAAATCCGAAGAAGAACATGAAGAAGAAGATGTCGGTCTTCTAAGCGCCACTTCTAATCATCTTCAACACATCGCCAGCCGAAGGCTTCTTGGAAGGTCGGGTTGGCCACGATGGTACAGACTTCTCGTCCTTACGGTCCTAGCCCTCACTAGTCTCTTCCTTGGCGTGGTTGCAATTGCGGGTATTGTTGTTTACACTCGCGGTTCAGGAGATGGAGAATCTCCAAATACCGATTCCGGGAAGAAGGTATTCAGTCTCGCTGGTGAATTGAATGGGTTGGTGCCTGAGTGTGAGTTGTAACCTCCATTTGGACCTTTCATGATAAAGTAGATGTGCTGACCCTTTTGGTCTTACCATCTATCCATGACACAGTCGAGGTCAAGCCTGTCATCTTCGGGAAAGACCCGCTGGCTACTTCGGACCATAAAACAGAAGCATCGGCAAATGCCACCGAAGAGGACTGGCGGTCTTATAAACCTGGTACGCAATGTCTCCCGTCCTCTCTCTTCCAAGTCCTTCTTGCGATGCTCTTCTCCAAAACTGCTGATAGCTAACACGGTTCAACAACCCACAGTTGGCCAGGGCTTCATAGCCGTCGACGACCCATCCCAATACACCCTTCCACAACCCATCGACTTCCAAGACCAAACCGTCTACTCCATCAGCGTGTTTCATCAACTTCACTGCCTTGTAAGCCTCTCCCCTTTCATCCTCCCACTCTCATCCCGTGCCACTCCCAAACAAAAACACACCTACGTACTAACACACCCACCCCATCTATCAGTACACTATAATGCAAGCCTACAACTCCCTTTCAGAACCCAACCATGACCACAACCCCCCTTCTGCCGCTTCCCAAGGACATACACGCAGAGACAACGGCCATCACAATCCTTCCCATTCCCAGGGACACACCAACCATAACCACATAGACCACTGCTTCCGCTACCTCCGCCAGTCCATCGTCTGCTGCGGCGACACGGCGCTGGAAGGACAGGATCTGAATCACCCGGAGTTATCGGCGACGGATGGGACGGGGGCGGTGCATTTGTGTAAGGATTATAGGGCTTTGAAGGGGTGGGCGGAGGAGAGGAGGCTTACAGAGGCGGTTTGAGGGGTTGGTGCAGTTGAAGCTTGGTGGAAGTGGGAGTTGGGGAAGGGATTGAGAGGGTGGAAAGGGAGGAGGATGGAGCCTGTCTTTTTGGGGGGAATTTACTGGTACGATAGGGATTTATCAACGATACCTCTACGTAACATCACCTCTGTCATTTCGAGACTGTTCTAGTGAATCAATGTTCTTTCCTTTATGCTGGTTATTACCTCCAAAATGGTCCTCCAATCGCTCCAACCAGGCAGACCCTGTGTCCAATGATTCTTGTTGTCCGGGTCCTAAGCTAAAAGACCTCCATCCCAGTCCTATGTCACCCCGTTCATCATTTATCAAACTCATGCAAGTCCGCTAGGTTGCTGATTGATATACGTCAGTTATGTTCGCCATCGTTCGTCCATTGTCTGGAAGCCAAGAAAACTGAAAGAAGAAGAAGGAGAAAACCACATACTCTAGTGACCAAATAAAGTAAGTCATTACGTCAGATCATCAGCTATGTACTCAAGAAAGAAAAAAGTCCAAGGATATCACGTACACTACAAGGGCATACACAAATAGAATATCAGCTGTCACGGTTCGAAAGAGTCCAGAAGGGGGATTAATTGGCAGGTAGTCAGACACCCAGACACCAGACTTACAGCACTATCTTGCAGCTCCTGGGGAACAAGTCCCTGGACACAAACAAAGCGAATCTCTTCAGTTCTCACTTTGTCTATTGATGATAACGACAGTGTTGGACAATGACATACATCGGCTGGGATGGGCAGCGGCATTGGTATAGCGGCAGCGGCCGCGAAGGGCAGCAACAAGACTGCGGAAACGAGGGCGGCGAGGTTCTTCATCATTTTCCTTTGGTCTCTTGGGTCGATGTCGACGTACGATAAGGATGTGTTAGGTTCTGCAGAACGAGTGAATGACTAACAGGCTGTGAGGTTCCGGAATACACAAAATGGAAGCCGGGCTCTCCAGCGGAGGACCGGTTCGGATGACGTCCGCTGGTGAAAATTGCTAGGCGCATCCCCGCTCTTAGGGGAGCGGGCGTCCAAATGCAGCCAATGGCATAACACAAATTTGGCGCAAAGGGAAGGAGGCGCCTTGGGACCCACTGGTATTGAGCGCGGGATCCACTTTTGTCCCTACTGGACAGGCCCTAAGCTCAGCGAGTTGAGCGCTGCAACGCGCTGTAGTGCGCTATTCAGGACGTTTTAGCAGTTCTAGAGGCTGTGCTGAACTTTTGACAGCGTCGAGCTCTTCGCTCCGACCACCTCCCAGAAAGAGCAGACGACAACGGAAGTGAAGCTATTCCCACTTTCATCTCCACCCCCATCTGTCGCCAGTAATGTTCAAATCAATACAAATTGCATACAGAGAATGGCGGCGAGAGCCTCGATACACGCCAGTAGACGATAGCGAAAGCCAGACCTCCTCATCCTCCTCCTCCTCCTCATCCTCCTCCTCATCCCCGGAAGAGGAACAAAAACCGGCTGAGGAGACGACGTAGGTCACCCAATGTGTTTGTTTCCGTCGGTTTGCATCACAAGCACAAACAACTATGGACCACCAGCTAACCCTCTTTTGATTTATTAGACTAAAACAACACCTCCTAACTGTCTACCTCATCATCACCACCCTAGCTTGGATCAGCCTAGTAATCAGGTTCATTATTTTGCCCTTCTTTGTCCTTGATCCCCTATCACCGCCACCATTTGCCAGTTTCTGGCAGGGCAGCAACACGAACAGAAAACCAGGGGGGGCATGCAAACACATTGCCACCCGACGCGAATGGCGCTCGCTTACGGAAACGGAGAGAAACGAGTTCGTGGACGCCATCCATTGTCTGGCGAGAACGCCGTCGGAGTGGGGAGAGAATAACAGGACTGTTTATGATGATTTTTCGATTTTGCATGGGGGAGTTGGGAGTTGGTGTATGTACCTCACTCGAGATACTGGAAGTGATGAAGCTGACAAACGAGACGAACAACAGGCCACCGCTCGGCATCCTTCCTACCATGGCATCGATGGACTTTACACATCTTTGAGAACGTCCTCAAGGATAAATGTGGGTTTCCTAGGGGGGGTACTATTCCGTAAGTCCCTCTCTTTTTTTCCCCCACCTAACCCATCAGCTTCGATAACTCGGCACTCTTTCCGTCTAATGCGACTATGTCTGGTGAATGTGTAGCTACTGGGACTGGTCCCTAGACCACCTCTCCCTCTCCACTTCCTCCATCTTTTCTCCCACCACCGGCTTCGGATCCGACGGTGCCCCTTCTGCTCCTCCTAGCGTCGGACAAGGTCGTTGCGTGCTAGACGGGCCCTTTGCCGATTTAAGGCCTATCATCTACAACCACACCTACGTCACGCACTGTCTGTCGCGGGGGTTCAACGACCCCAAACGGAACGCCACCACGGGCGAGATACCGGGCGACCATTATAAGCCCGAAGCGATCGGGGAGATCTTGAGAGTACATGGGTACGAGGAGTTTGGAAAACAGGTGGAGGAAAAGCTGCATAATGGGTTGCATCAGAGTGTGGGAGGAGATTTTAGGGCCATGACTGCTGCTAATGGTATGTTTGTTTTCCTTCATTTCCTGTTTGCTGGAGGTAGTTCTAGGCTGGCTAGATGGCTGGCTACTGGGTGAAAGAGGAGAGTTGCTGACATGACACGACCCGGACACAGACCCCCTATTCTACGTCCACCACGCCTCCCTCGACAGAATGTGGTGGCGCTGGCAATGGGAGAACCCCGAGGTCAGACTGCGAGAATACAGCGGCAAACACATGTTTAACTCGACGCCGGGAGAGGCGAGTGTCAGGGATGTGTTGCTGTATGGAGGGTTTACCGAGGACGTGTTGGTGGAGAGGGCAATGAGTACGGAGAGTGGGGAGTTGTGTTATCGGTATCAGTAGGATCTGACTTTGCCTGATCCAGAATACATTTAGATGGATCAGATGTAAAACGCCGTGACAATGGAAACAGGAAGCTGTTGCGATGTGAGAATGTGTGGTGGTGGTGGTGCTGGTTGGCGAGTGTCCGCGATGCGTAGAGGTAGGCGCCGGCGCCAAATGGCGCGAAGCGCAGATCAGCCAGCCGCCGCGCCAGGGTCGAGTAAACGCTTCAAGTCCAAGTCGTAACGCACGCAAACGCCGATTGAAGAGCGAAGACGCAACAAATGATGCATTTGGGCTGAATCAGGGCATCAATGGCCAAGTGTGCAATTGTGAGGAAGCCTGGGACTGTTATTCCAAACGGGCAATGTGAGAAGGGCACCTCTCTGTCCGTCCAAGCATCGAGCCATCCGCACCATCAGCTGCTCCATCCCGTCCCCAAGCACCTCCTCTCCTTGCTCCTTCACGATATCCATTTCCATCACCAACACATCGAAGCACTAACAGTACGCGCGGACTGGAGCAACAATGGGAACGGAATTAATCCCGCCCAAAGACTTCACCACAATGACAACCATCTTCTTCCCATCCTTCTCCTTGTCCTCCTCCAAATCCAAACCCTACTTCAGCCTCCCCCAAGCCGAAGATGGAACCGAACCCCTTCAAACCCAGCAGGAAAAACGAAACCAACGGTCCCTCTGGCCCGGTAAAACCCTAAGCTTCTGGATCTTCATGTCCCTCTTCTTCGCCTGCACAACGACCTGGTTAACTACCGAGTTGCACGCCGTAAGGAAACATGGGAGTTTTGCACAGGGGTTTAGAAGTGAACTTGGTGAGTTTTCTGTTTGTCTACTTAGCGGTACTTTTCTTGTGCCTCAACATTGAACACTGAACAGACGTCTGATGAACTAACTTGTGCTGATGATTGATTTGGGGAAAAGACGCGGCCAAACACCTGTTAAAAGTCAAAACGGTGGACTTTGGCGGGAGTCCTCGGTTCAGGGAGGATGGGACCGAGTATGTACCTGTCCCAGATAATGGCGAAGCTCATAAGGCATACGTCGGCACGCCGAGGAGGGAGATTGATCATAATTGGGCTTTGTTGCATTGGGGTGAGTTTAACTCTGAGTTCCTGTTTGATGGTTGCGTGCGCATTTGCTGACTGGTTACTGCTGCGTGTGTCAAAGGCCGGTTCTTTCTCCTGACGGAACGAGAAGCCCAAAGCGCTTGGGGTGATGAGTACAAGCAGTTTTGGAGCCCTAAGCATGGGGGATATGTGGTTGCGTGAGTGGTCCTTTTTCTTTCCCTTCTTCCCTCCCCACAAACCCTCATTCATTCCATACTAAACCCCCCATCACACCAGCCTAGAAGTAATGCACACCCTCCACTGTCTAGACCACATCCGCAAAGCCTTCTACCCCGACCACTACCCCGTTGACAGCGACATCCACGGCATCTTACACCGCGACCACTGTCTTGACCACCTCCGACAAACTGTCTTGTGTAATGCCGACCTGACGCCCATCCCTTCGCGGTACTACAAGGCGCTGGGACAGAACTATATCGACTCTGATCGCCCGCATACTTGTCGTGATTTTGGCAGGATTCGAGAGTGGGTGAGTGAGAGGTTTAATGGGAGTCTGAAAGTTGAGCCGGCTCCTGGAACGGTGGTGGAGGATGAGTGGAGGAATGGAGGGCCGAGCGGGGGAGGTATGGGGATGGGACATGGGCATGGACATGGACATGGGCATGTATAACCTGCCGCCGATGGGATGTAAACTATTGGGATAGGTGGGTGTGTTGAGGTCTAATCAAATGGTTGTATAGGTAGTTCGTCGTTGAAGTAATCCACTCATCGAGGGATAATCGTGATATCTGTATCTGAGGATCATTGTTACGCTGATTTGGTGGAAGCGGCGCCAATCCAGACACCCTAAATTGAGTCTCCTCCTTTGTTTGCTCGATGGTGATTTGTTGATAAAGTAGAGTGATGTCCCGAATTTTTGGACATCCGAGCTTCCTTCAAGTTGGAGAAGCTTCCATTTGTTAACTCCTGTCAGCATGGCTGGATCTGTTTCAAGGAAATACCTACCTAGGTATCGATGAGGTAAGGGACCAAGGTCATGTTGAGTCTACTATGTAGGCAGCTAAGCCCAGAACTGCCCCGAAAAAGAAAGATCATAGAGATAGGTACTTACATGTAACCTCATCCTCACCACGACGCATATACGGTGGTGCACCATCGCATTCCGCAGAGGAGTCCCAGGACGTTGATAGATGTAGTAAATTGAAGGTAGCGGAAGCATTGGTTACCTCTAATCTCTTTGGTATCCTGACAAGGCAGTCAATACCTAATTTTCGCTGAACGGTCATTCGGATCGTAGAGATGAAGATCAATTGGAATTCGTTGCAACATGCTGACCTTTATGGCCCCAATCAATGAGACATGGATCCTTCCATTTCCCCTGACAAGTTGGGGCCCGTGCCGGTAAGTATATCACCGACTCAACATCAACCTGGTCATTGAATCTCCTCCTGTTCACCTGGATTATGTCCATAAGACATGTAGGTGTTCGTTCTCTTGTTCATCATCGAGGTGTTGGATGGCTGTGTCCGACTTTTAACCTGGTTCTCCATGGGAGAACCTCTGCTAGAGAGCGATGAACGACGACGTGCGATCGGACACAACGCCTCGAGGACATCGTGCAAAATTACCTAGGTATATTCTGCCGGGTGAGACTTTACTCTCCTGGTCCCTTCACTCCGAACCGTCAACCTTGATGATGGAGGACCTTAAGACTCTTCCCGTTTGTCGCCAGTTTATATTGGCAATTACACTCGCCGGTGAACAAGTGAACAGGTCCTACCAACCACCATCCCATCCATCACCATGATCAGAGTATAGTGAATGGTTGATTCGTTTGGTCCGCAGTCGCAAGCTTGATACCCAAGCGTAGTGAAGAGGTTATGCTCAACACCATCACTGTTCACCACCATGGCGAACCTTGACCGTGAAGAGCGACCGTACAGTGAATTGTCTGCAACGGTGAAAATATTCCTCGTTTATCCCTCCCGTAGGAACCCATAAAAGAACTCCCTCTGATTACTTTTCAGTGCCCCTCCATTCTTCCTCTCCAGACCATCGCAACAACGAGACTGGAAAACAACTGGTCAAGCAAAGACCAGAACGACAACAACAACACAAACCCCAAGAACGTCACTAAAATGTCCTACTCAGGCAGACGCTCCTCCTCCTCCCGCTACTCCTTTTCCGGCGGCGGCACTTACTCCTCTTCCGGGGGCGGCGGTGGCTCTTCCTCGGGCGGCGGCGGCAGTGGCTCTTCTTCGGGCGGCGGCAGTGGCTACTCCGACTCCATCCCGACCGCGGGTTACGCTGTCGACACGCCCTCTTACACCGTCACCAGCGGCGGAAGCGGAGGATCCTACTACACCTCTTCTAATGGCCAATCCGGATACTCGGGCTCTGAGCCTCCTTCCTACTACTCCTCCTCCTCGTCTGGCAATGCTGCTCCTCCTCCGTCTTACTACTCTTCTACTTCGGGAGGTGGCGGCTCTTCCCGCTACTCCTCTGCCTCGGGAGGTGGCTCTTCGTCTGGTGGCGGTAGTGCCGGTGGCGGTTACTCCGACTACATCCCGACCGCGGGTTACGCTGTCGACACGCCCTCTTACACCGTGACCTCTGGTGGTAGCGGCGGGTCCTACTACACTTCTTCTAATGGCCGGTCCGGATATTCGGGCTCTGAGCCTCCGTTTTACTACTCGTCGTCCGGCGGCGGCGGCAGTGGTGGTAGCTCTGGATACTCCGGTGGTGGTAGCTCTGGCTACTCCGGTGGCGGCGGTTCTTCTTCGGGACGTGGGTCTTCGAGCTACTCTGGTGGTGGCGGCGGTAGCTCTGGATATTCTGGAGGTGGCAGTTCGTCGTATTACAGCAGTCGCTAAGCGGGGTGCTTGGTGAACTCAAGGGGACTGGTTGAGGTCAGTGGTGAACTTCCTTCTTGAAAAGAAAATAATGGTGGACAGGAGTGCTAACCGAATGAGATGCGAGTGATGGCAGTTCAGGAAGGGAACACACAGGAAGGAAAAGTCGGTGATGGGAAGTCTTGCGAAGTCTAGCATTTACGAGGAAGAGAAACAGGAACAAATAGAATGGGAAAAAAAGAATCAAAAGGCGTTGGCACGATTGTGGGCCATGGCGTTCTGGACTGATTGCGTTGGGCGTTGATGAAAATCCATGTTCCTGCCAAATTCGCTTCTTGCTCTGATAGTGTGATACTTTGTCGCTATTTGTGTAAGACAACTTGAACATACCCAATCCATACGGTTCTCGCGAGATCATCATATTCTTGTCGCTTCGCACGCCAATTGCCACAACCAGCCAGCCGACTAGTTCAAGATCTCTCGTCCGGCCACGCTACCTACAACCTGAGCAGGCTGAGAAATTGGACGACTCCGGCTTTGAAGGAAAGACACCAAAGCAGCGAGCATCTGGGACCAAAGCGCATCTCCCGAATGCATTGTTTCCTGAGAGTAGTAGTGACACTGGACTCGTTTGAAGCCGAGCTCGGACAAAAGTCTTGCGCTCGTCAGCAGGGCGCACTTTATTACGGGATCCTCCACCGCCCCTACTTTTGGGTCTTGGGCCAGAAAGATGGGCGTTTCTCTCAATTTTGCTACGAGCCCACCCTCGAAGCCTGCGGGCACGGGGCGCTTCTAACCCGGGCGTGTAGCATCATCTTGACTGCTTGTCTGAGCGCTGGCGGTACTTTGACTTTGGTATAACTGTCTCCCGAAATAACAACTCTGAAGATCCTTCAGAAACTGGCGGCATCTTTCATTGTCTGCCGAATCGGGCCCACGACCCAGTGCTATAAGCTCTCGCATATTGGGCCAAAAGCCGGCGAAGCCAATTAGGCCACCTAGGCCCCACAATGGTTCACCAAAGAATAACGCCGAGGCGATGTGGAAGCCTTTCCCAAATCCTACCAAGAAGATGCGCGACCTGGGATTGGGAACCTCTTCTGCAGAATATTGAACTTCTTCTGCCTCGACAAGGGAAAAAACGTGATGACAGGTAAACATGACATCGGGTAGTGGGGTATCACGAGCCCATCGGGGTCGCATCTCTTTTCTGTGACCTAGTATCGCACGAGCTTCTTGAACTCCAGCCGCAAAGACCCATCTGAAAGTTGGAAACTGGCGGCGAAGGCTATTGCGTCGAGAGACGGCAGTCAACATGGCATTGTTGTTGAAAATCTCTCGTGCAAAGAGTTCAAAGATATCGTTATAGCCGGGTCGGTCATGGAGGACAATGACAGTATGTGTAGTGCGATATTGCTCTTCTGGATCGTAGGTGATGATGGGCAATACACAACCGTTGGCCGTGACTTTGTTGAATGTCAGTACATCACAATGATCATCAATTACGGGGTATGTTGCAACTTACCTGTACCTCCTTGGTGCCAGCACCTCGAATGGAGTGGGCTAACGTCTTCTGGTCTGGACAGGACAGCCGGCATAGTGGGCTGGATGGTATCACGATTCAGGCGTGGATATAGTCGACTGTGGATGTGCAAGCTGATGACTCCTCGGAATTGGATTCCGAAGTCTCATAGGTGGCAATAGATATTATTGCTGCCTTTCTTTAGCCTGCGTGCTTGGTGGTAGATTTCCGGTGACAGGAAGTCGGCAGGATGTAGAAACAGTCGGGATCCGGGGCAAAAGGAAGCCGCCACGCTGGACGTCGTGATGGGTGCTCGACATGAGCTTGACTGTTGGGGGTCCGGAATGTCAGGTGGAAGTTGGAGAAGAGGATGTTGGACGCAAAATGGCGAGGCACGGGTAGCGAAGGCAGTCACCAGAATGGGGGGGGGGGGGGGGGGGCGGCGGTTCAGAACTGGCCCTTCCTTCCTAGAGTAATTTCCTCAAGAAGACTTGAGCTCGTTCTTGTTGCCCATCGTCGTGATGGCCTCTTCCCGGGCACGTACAGGTTTGTAGTGGATCATGTGGGCTTGGCAGTCTGCAGGACATCGATATGCTTGTCGGTCCCAACTGCAACTTCGTCCACCTTTTCTTTCCATTCCATCATCTCAATTGGCCAAATTTTCAACTATTATTCTCGCACATAGCAACCAACGACCGCGCGTTTTGTTTTCCAACGTGCTAGAGGTAATCTCTGCCCTAATTCTTTCTTTAACTTGAGTTCTCAACTCCACGGCCGGCACCGAATCGAGACCGTACGCACTCAGCAGCGTCCCGCTCTCCATCTCCATCTCCAGTCGCAAAGGCCTCGAAAGCTGCGTCGACATGACCGCCACGCATGCCTTGATTAGCGTCGCGCTATTCGCTCAGTCAGCTACAAGTGTCCATCTCCTGGTCGCTCCCTCCTCGCTTGACGTCGCTTTCCGAAACTACAGCACAACTACTGCTGCTAAGAAGACAGCCAAACCTCGACTCACTCACGATATTCGAGGACTCATCGAGGGATAGAGTGAATGCATTTATGGGTAGAGGCAGGATGGAGAAGGCAGACGATGTCCCGCTGCAATATCGAATACGTCAGGATGCGACGAAGGGTTTTTTTTTTTTCCCAATGGGCGTCCACTGCTGCGCGTCAAGCCAGGTTCGAAGGTCAACCCCTTGCTCGACAAGATATTAGACATCCCCTATGGCACCAAAATCTATCGAGTTGGCCTGCAGTCACGATCTACGCCGGTAGCTGGCAAATGCATCCATGAAAATGTCAGCAGCTGCGCGATCGGCCTACGAATAGTCACATGTCACATCATGATCGGATTTCTTCCCGTTCTTTCATATCGATAGTATCATCTATGTCACGGCTCACCAATCGTGTTCGATGCATCATGTTTTAGCATTACGGCAGGGACCAAAGGACTCTGAACAAATCCCGCCTCTTGTGAAACGGGCCGGCCATCAACCGCGGGTGGTCAATATGACGGTGACGGGCATGGCAGGTAAACCCACCGAAGAATTGTGGGAAAAATGGGACATAAACCACGGTTCATGGGGAAATAAGGACGTTGGACCGTCCTTCAAAAAAGATTTTGTTTTGCAAACGCCACCGGTTTTTGCGGATAGTTTCCTGGCTCTCAACACCTGAAAGTTCCCATCAATCCTGGAATCTCCGAGTTTCAATCATCTGATGCTCAAACCGCCCAACGGGCGATGCACTTTGTAAAGTAAACCCGCCTGAAAATATCGTTTGTTTCCAGCTCGGCCATCCCCTGATATCTTTCGCAGAATGGACACAAAAGCTTCTCAAGCCCGTTTGACGATAGGACCCAACAATGAAGCAGACGGCGGTTCAATTGATCATCTATCCAACGGAAGGAATGGTCATTCAAGGCCTTTGGCAAAATGTTTTATTAGAGTGGCACAAGTATCGACTTGAATCGCCTCTCGCTCCCTTCAACACAGCCATCTCCAGCACTAAATTCACAACAAGACCTCACCTTCACACATCAACCGCACAGCTACAACTCGTCCCCATCACCAGCTATTCATCATGCAGCTCATCTCTGTTCTCACCACCTTGGCCGCCTTCAAGGTCGCCGCCGCGCTTCCCTCGGCCGTCAAGGGCGCCAATGACCTCGTGACCCGCGATGGTCTACTGGGTTCCAAGCTCTGCACCGACGTCAACTTCACTGGGAACTGCGAGACCATTACTAACCCGGCCAATGGCCTGAAGCCCAACCAGTGCAGTGCGTCCGATTCCTATCCTTCCACTTACGCAAGTCAATTACTAACATGAACAAACACCCTTTTGTACGTACCTAGTTCTTGTCGATTCTTATCTCGCACGCAAGGGGATCTCCTCGATTCAACCTCTGGAGAGGTCGTGGTGCACTTACTACCTGTACGTTTTTCTTATGGTCTCTTTCTTTCCTTCTTGTCATCAGGATTTGGAAGGTTAGATGTGAGCGTTTGGGGTTGACAGACATTCTCGGAAATCACCTAGGACCGCCAACTGCCAGGATCTCAGCTTGGACAACTGCGGACACTATGACGCCACTTCTCCCATTGACGATTTGACGACGGTGAGCCCGACTAATTCGAATCACCAATGTGGAGGCAACATGGACAAGAAGATTGCTAGTTTCATGTGCCGTCCTTTCTAAGAAGCGCGCCCGGGATCCAGTGACTCGGTACCTATTTTAAGGAAAAGGGAAAGGGAAGAAGGGGTTCCCCCAACGAGGTGTTATGCACGCAAACAATTTCAGACTGTTTCACAGACTGGGCAGCGCATTGCTAGCATAAGCTTCCACTTATGCATTACTGTTACGTATTTTCTGTGACTGGAGGCAAGTAGGAGCACGTTATACACGATGCACGCCAATGTCAATTATGCTTCCAGCAGTTTTTACGAGACTTATGCAGCCCTCAACATCTTCCTGCCAGCATCCAACAAACATTCTCATCAATACCTACACTCGTGGAAGTAAATTGCGTCAACATGCCAGTAGCTCTCTCTTGAATGTGATTCGTTGTGCCCAACTTTCGACGGCATCACGCAACTTAGATCCCTGTATGGTTTCCTTGAAAGAAGGGTAGTTTTCAAGGACACATTTAGGGAGGCGGTTGACGGGTACGATATCCAGAAGCCATGTGCAGAGGCAGGCAGGGGCGCGAACTGATGACGGGATTCTGGCTCCTTTCATTGTTTACTTTGAACAGATCTACGTATGCATCGAGCGACAACAAAAATAAAGTGAAAGCGGTAAGCACGGTTGAGATCAAGGGTAGGTATTCTTCTCATAAAACTGGCAAGTGATAACCTAGAGGTAGTCTCGTGTTGGACGACTTCCAACCATCCTTCAATTGATTATTCCACCTCCTTGTCGGGTACAAAACCCGATCAACTAGCTGCCTCTCTCACCTTACAAACTCAGGTACCACTACTTTTAGACAACAACGACAACACCAGCAACCACTTCAACATTTCTACTTTCCATAGCTCATCATGCACTCCATTTCGCAAGCACTAAAACTCGCTTATCTCATCGGCCTCACCTCCTCCATATCAGCAGCCATCATCTCCCCCGTTTCCATCCATCTCTCCCGCGACACCACCTCCAACGATATTTCCATTGACGACTCAACCAACTCCTCCGACTCCTCTTCCTCCTCCGATATGGTACTCAACCACTCCCTCACCTCCACCTCTTTCACCTCCCTCGATATCGCCCAAGCCCAAGCCTCTTTCTGCCCCTACGACTCCCTCAACCAACCCCAACCTCTACTCTCATACGACCTCTCCACCGCCCCCCTTGCCTCGGACTGCGCGCACATTCTCGATATCATCAACGACACCCAGCGCCGCGGGTACTGGACGTTTGACACTTCTGATCTCGAAAAGGGAATTACGCTGATCCAGTACGGGAGTTGTGCATTTAAGATGATTAAGGATGGGGAGGTTGGCGAAGGTGGTGATGGGAAGAATAACAGCAAAAAGGTGACAAAACAGGTCAAGTGGGGGGTAGAGGAGCTCAAGTTTTATTTGGGGACGTGGTTGCAGAAGCAGAGGCATGGGAGGCTGGGAGCTGTGGGAGAGGTGGATTGTTGGGTGGAGGGGGAGCAGAAGAAGGAGGAAGGCGGGGTGAGGGTTAGGTGGATGGTTGTGCGGCAGCAGCAGCAGCAGGAGAATTAGGTAGGCTGAGGACGGGCGTGGAGGAGGGAAGGGGGCAGGGCGGTGGGTTATGGTTGGTGATTGAAGGTGGTGGTGATGTTGTGGTGTTTTTCTTGGGTAGAACTAGGTGTGTTTGGTGTATAATTTGAAGGAGAAGGGAAGACTGGTTGTTTCAATTGTCTTGTTTTCAGGGATTAGTTCTAGACAGTAGTACCTTAACCTTGTAGGTACTAGTCTTGAGTATCGCATATCTGCCTAGACCTTGGTGCCTTCCTCTTCTGGTAATTTAGTGCAGCGCGGCAGTGTGCCAAGAAGTGTCATTGCCTCGGTGTGTGAGTCAGCTCGCCGAGGTTGAGCTGGGGGTTGGAGACGACAACTTCGCGTAAATAAAGCGCCGAGGAATGTGCAACAGGCCTTCGGTGTGTGCGAGCCGAATCTTTCACGCCTTTCGCTCCTCGAACGCGTAGTCAGAACACTCTCCCAACTCACCATGGCCTCGGTAAAGCAGTTGAACGACGTGCCTCTCGACACTTGGGAAACCATTGCGAGCTACTGGGACAAGTCCATTGGAAAAGATGGCAACATCTACTGGAAGAAGCTGCAAGAACCGTCACTCCGTCGATTGCTCGGGGATCATCTCGGAAAAGAGTCCTGTCGGGCGCTTGATCTTGCGACAGGGAACGGAATTTGCGCTCGATGGTTGGCGAAGCACGGAGCGAAAGTGACCGCCACTGACGGAAGCGAGAACATGGTCCAGATTGCCAAGAACTGGATGAAGGGAGAAGAGCGGAGTGACAGTGTTGACTTCACCAAGTTGGATGTCACACAGACAGAGGGTTTTGACGACTTCATCGCTGCCACTGTATGTTTCCAATCTTGGGAAGCTTCCGCGGCCGATCGCTGATATCGCTCCTGGGCGGCCAACAGGGCGAGAACATGTTCGATATCGTCCTCATGAACATGGCCATCATGGATGTTTCCACGCTCGAGCCACTCGTCCAGGCACTTCCGAAGCTCTTGAAGCCGAATGGAGTGTATGTCGACCTCATCTCGGGAGACTGAAACCAGTGGCATTGACTGATAACCTTCCCATCCAGCTTCGTCGCAACCCTTCTTCATCCCGTATTCATGACCTCCGGAGCATCTCGCAATGTCGATCTCCGGTACGACGGTGAGACCGGTGACCTCGAAGTCGTCAGGACCAAAGTCATCAAGAACTACCTCCACATTCCACCTTATAAGGGCATTGCCATTCCTGGACAATCGAAGCGACAGGTGAGTTCCGTTTTTTGTTGACATGCCCAAACCGTTTGATGGGACCGAGATGAGACCGGAGTATCGCCAGCCAGCGAGCGAACGAGCGAGCGAGCTAACCAAACGCAGCTCTACTTTCACCGCCCAATGAATGAGCTCTTCACCATCTTCTTCCAGGCCGGTCTCGTCATGGATGCCATGGAGGAACCGGCATTCTCGGAAGATGACAGGGAGGAGGGCAGGGTCGAGTCAAGCCGAAATTACACGCAACTCCCGGCAATTCTCAGCTTCCGCATGCGGTTGCCGTACAAAAACGGCGCGTGAGTCGCGATGATCTCTCGATGACTTTGCGACGTATATCGATGGGTACGGTGCTATAGAGTTGTGGTTAGCCAGTGATGGTTGAGAGAGAGACACGGAAGATGAATGTCACCCGCGGAGTTTGAAATGAGACAATTGCTATGAGGACGGGGGGCTAGAGCTTATAAGTCCAAGAAACTATTGACAGATTGCTGGACAATCAGCTGATTTCAGGCACCATTCCGACGTCATGCAATATCCGGCAATCGGATTTAGAGAGAATGTGTGTATTGATCGTCGCTCTCAGCAGGGATTAAAAACGGAAACCGACATTCGGGACGGCACGCTCACCGGCTCCCCGGGGAACCAGGGGGGGAGGGAAAGTTCATGATATCGGCCAGAGGCCCCCCCACGGAGGTTTTTTTTCCTCCACGATGTGACAGCTCGTGATAGATATCTCATGTGGAGGATTGAGTTATTTCAGTGAGAAACCTTAAGGGCAGGATGAGAAAAAGTAAATATGAAAAGAGCCTCACCTCCCGGCAGAATGAAGCATGCTAGTTCATGGACACATCAGCTTCATACCCAACCCAAAAATGGACCCTGACTCACACGCAACCAAACGACGTCGTGTCGCCGAAGACACCGGATCTTACTCCGTGGAGTATCAACACCAAGGCCAGCATCACTACATCAATGCCAAGACAGCCAAGACCGACCCTGTACCTCCTCCATTTACCAGTGGCACCTCCAGCGGAGACTTTCAGTTCACCGCTTTCCAAAACACCTCGACCATAACAGGACTGTCGCCAATCAGGTTCGAAGACTTTTTGAACGAGCCGACTGGCGAGACACCGCGCCCGGAAGAGCCGGAGCAGCCTGGGCCTAACAAAAAGGAACATAAAGCTGAGGAAGACGTCAGTGTCAAAGAGCGTCACAACAGCATTGGGAAACGATATCGAAATAAACTCAACGAGCAGTTTGAGAATCTGGAGGCGCTCTTGTCACAGCAGAACCCCGAGGAAGACTACAATGAGAGCCACAGAAACACTGCGCGGGACTCCAGCTTTTCACCAACTCAAGTCAAGAAACGCCAAAGGGGACGGAGTATCAACAAGGCTAGTTTGCTGGAGATGGCCAAAGTGCGCATCAAAGCCCTCACTGAGCAACGAGAGATGTTGATAGCCGAGGTAGAACAGCTGGAGAAGGAGTTAGCGGAGGAGGCAACAAAGCAAGCGAGTGGAAGCCGACACCATGAGTGAGACTTAGTGATGTAATTAATCCCAGACAGATAGAGCCTTTCAGTTCTTTTCCCCCAAGCAACAATAACGAATAACCATTTCCAACAGGCACGCAGGCTATGAATCCCAGCAGCATCAAATGGTCCAACTGAATCTTTCCAGTTCCAAATCGGCCTCTCAGTAAGAAGCTCCCCGTTCCAGTCATGACATAAACCCAACATCAACCCTCTTCCCCGTCCCCTTTCAAAACTTTTGACTCTTCCTGACCTTCAACCTTGGCGGTTCCGGATGCGGCGGCTGAATCGCGACGGGTATCATCGATCTCCTCTCCACATCCTTGAAGCCTCCATTACTATCCCGCGGCGTCTGTATGGCGACCGGTATCATCGACCTTCTCTCCACCTGCCTCACACCCTTCATTTCCATATCTCTCTCCCTATCCCTCTCTCTTTCTCGTTCCCTGTCTCTTTCCCGTTCCCTTTCCCTTTCCCTCAGTTCTCTATCCCTCAGTTCTCTGTCCCTCAGATCTCTTTCTCTCAGGTCCCGTTCTCTGTCCCTCTCCCTCAAATCCCTCTCCCTCTCCTTCAGATCCCTCTCCCTATCCCTCAGCTCTTTATCCCTCAGCTCCCGATCCCTCTCCCTCTCCCTCTCCCTCAGGTCCCTCTCTCTTAGCTCCCTCTCTCTTAGCTCCCTCTCTCTCAATTCCCTTTCCCTCTCCCTTTCCCTATCCCTCAAGTCCCTATCCCTCAAATCCCTATCCCCCACCCTCTCCCTCTCCATACACCTCTCCCACATCTGACTCCGATGATGCACCCTCTTCGGCACCGTCACCACCCACCCCCTCCACCCGCCCGGCCCTTCATCCTTTTCCACCGGCGGTCCCACCGCCAACCCAATCACATCCGCCACCCTTTCCGCATCAAACACGTACTCAAAATGCAGCTCGTAACTCGTGTCCGTCTCGCCCGTCATCTTGTTGACCATGCGCACCACCAGGATGTCCTCAATGGGGAACCCGCGCAGCTCGACGGTGCCGTCTTCCCAGGTTTCCAGGCCGAGGCCGTTGTGATCCCCACCTCTTGTTAGTGAGGAAGTAGAGGGGGACGGGGAGGATATCATGTGTGCTGGTGCTGAAGGGAAAAGGCGGGATTGCATGGCTGAGATGTGTTGGCGGCGGAGAGAGGCGAGGTTGATGCGTTCGCGGTCGCCGGCGGAGGAGGGGACGAGGTAGTTGATGCCGAGGTGGCGGCGGCCTGGGGACTGGAGGTTGATTTTGAAGAGGTCTAGGATTAGGGTCGGCATTTTTTTTTCTTTTTTTGTTTTTGTTTTTTTATGGTGGTTGTGGTGGTGATGACAGGTGGGCTTCAGTCGTCAAGTGGCTGCGCACGGCGCGCGAGTGAATTGGTTGAACCGCGTGGCCAAGGTGATGATGGCGTAGACAAGTAGCGGGTGTAATGGCGGTCGAGCTGGCTGTGTGTAGAGGTATGGATGTGGATGGGTATGACGCTAGGAAGCAGCCGAAAAGAGAGAGAAGCGATACCGAGCAAGAGAGTCTGAGGCTTGAGTGAATCGAGTTAGCATATGATGTAGCGTGCGCGGGAACACACGTTTTGCTTTGGCTAGTCGGGATGCTTGATCGAGGCACGCAGCCTAATGAAGATGGCAGACGCAGCCAGGTCAAGGTGCGGGCGCCGGGCGGTGTGGAGAGCGGGACAGTGGCCGGTGACGAACATCAGATACTCACCGTGGACACTCGCTGAGAACTCTCGATATAATGGGAATGGGGGCTTGAGTTTGATCAAGGAGGGAAATCAAGAGGTCGCCGCCACAGCTTCCTGCGTCAAGATTTTTCCGGTCAAAGTTCAGGAGCAGAACAGCGTTTGTAAAGTCAAAGGAACAATCATGCCATCATCGTCGTGGACGTTAGGCGTTGTTTGGGTCTCAGTGCCCAATGAAGCGCTCCAATCCCCGCCAAGTAGCGCTGTCCACAACCAACGCTACCGTCCAACCCGCTAACCAATCGGCTTGCGACCGGAGCGGCGGCGATCTGCAGGGTCGTGGTACCCGCCCCAGTCCCGTCTCCATCAATGTCTCGACGGGCTGGAGACCTACGGGTGGTCTTTCATATTGGCTTGATGCTGAAGGAATAACGTTCTGACTCACTTCATTGTTACTCTACCTACCTACCTAGTCCCTGAATCCGACGATTCTACGGTACATCATTCGTCGATGAAGCGGGCACTATCGTATGACTTTCTTCAAAGCTTCACATTCCGTCCCTTTGGTTTTAGTAGGTAAAAATATGCAATCACTCTATGCTGCGGCGGTGAGCAGCAACTCATACAAGTAGTAATAGACACTCCAATCAGTGAAAGACCACAAGTACATGGGAACATGTGCTGACACCACTGATGAACTTATCATCGCCATCAGCCCAGATCTTCCTTGAGTCCTTGGGAACGTCAAGAGACCTACAAGCCAGTCCACGCACAAGAACCAGGGCGTGGAAGCGAGTACACTGGATAGGTAAGAAGTGGTTCACGTAAATTGGGGGTTAGGTGCCTTCCTCATCGCTTTCACTGTGCCCTGCACCAGAACTTGTTCGTCCATCTGGAGGATGTCAATCTCACGATGGGGTGTATATGGACGTACCTACCCGTGCCTCGCTCCCACCTTTTTGGGCCTCGCCAGACCTGACCGCAACTAATAAACTACCGTAACGGGAAATTCTGCTTAGTAGAAGGGCTTTCTAACGAAGGCTGTTTCCGAATCGTCAAATTCTGGTATTCACTGTCTTAAACTAATACTGATCGATAACAATTCAGAAGCCGAGAACACGGGCGGCCATCACGCGGCGCGCTACACTAACTGTTCCGTCGTGGTTGCGTGCCCCTGACCAACGAAAACGATGATTTTTACTAGAGTTTGATATGGCATCCGCAAGAAGCAGTGTCTGACTGATGAAAACCTAGACATCATGCTCTACTGTGCCCTCTAGTTGTTTACCTCTAACTTCCGACGGCACGGAGTGCGAAGGACCGGGTCTGAAGGATCTGGTCCAACTCAACACTGCCCTCTAGTTGTTTACCTCTAACTTCCGCCGACGGCAGCGACTGCGTAGGACCGGGTCTGAAGGACCTGGTCCAACTCAACACTGGGTTTGCCTCCTTGGGCATCACCGGTGGAACACATTCCAGGACACAATCCAGCACAACCCCGCAGCCGATGATGTTCCGAAGCATTTCGGCATCTTCTGGTTTGGTCGCTGTGACCTGAAATCCATCCCCTAATGTGTGAACACTTCGTATCGGAAGACCTTTGAGCTTGACAGCGTGATGTTGTTCGCTGTCCATGTGCTCAACGAGTCTGACTTCGTCGATCGTACCCGTCTGTCCAGACATTATTTGCTCCACCATTTGCCTCACCATATACCTCATATGTATTCTCCGCGTCCCTCGGGCAGGATATTGAATGACCAGATCCCCCGTGTCCGGAGTACTCGGCCGGTCTTGTTGTTGCGGAGGCTCCCACCCTAATATCCTGTTCCAGATAGTCCACAGGCGCGTGGTGCGCTTCGTGGACCTCGAATCCTGATTGGTATATGTACTGGCTGGCGGCTTCGGCTTATCCATCGAGAAAATCAGTCGTACTGTGCCGTTGGAATTGGTGTCAGAGGACAGGATGCCCCGAGGTAATGCGGACATGGTAGGTAGATTATAAACTACATTGATTCATCAGCTTTGCTAACATCTGATTGTGATTTTAGTGATGAGATAAATACCTCTTTGTATCACAAGACCTTATATTGGCGGTGGAAGAGTAAATTTCGCCAGTGATATGGCTCTGCCAAAATTAAGAAACACAGCACAAGCGCGTCTGGAGGGGCTGACAGACGAGGAAACAGGAAGCAGAATTCATGCGCAATGGCGAGGACCTTGTGTTCTATAGCCCAACGGCTACACGTACTTTTGTTACCTACCTTACTCTTCCATAACTTTCTTCTTCAACACATTGGTAGAGGTAGGTAGGTAAGTAGTGAATAAATAATAGAGGGCGGAGCGTGGCACTGCCTCACCCTAAACGCTGTAGAGATACCTAGCTGCATGCTAGGCATTTTACAAGTAGCCAATCCTTCTACGTTATCAATCCAGTGGCTTCAAACGCGTAAGCTTGATGCTCACTCTGACCAATGAGCATGGACTACGTAGCAGGCCTTGTGATGTTTATGCTGCCTTGCCCCCTTTAGGTATACGTGATGGATTAGAAGTATGGAAAAGGCCAGACAGTTGGTTACGGCAGAAAATCGAAAGGTATTTGTGGCCAACAGCCCAGGCGACGCATAAATATTGAGACCCTCTAGGGGCAGGGCTGGTGTAACGTTGGTTGTGAGGCTTTGTTGTAGAAAGGGCTGGGGCGGAGCTAAAGACTCTTGAGCAACCAAGAGATGGAGAATAAGAGAGAAGAAGCTGGGGCTCTGTGATGGACTCCCCAAGGGATTAAATCCTACTCTCTGGTTGCTCTTCGCCAAAGCATCACTTCACAAGTTCAGTAAAGTACAGAGTTCCATCCCTCGATAATACGTCAGTTTGTAACAATACCTCTACAATTGCTGGAGGCCTAGCAATGGATGACCAGCTTACGAACGGGCAACCAACGGATCAGATGCACGGTATTCCAGCACCAGCGGCAGCCGAAGGAAATGATGATGTTTTAATTTCGAGTATCCTAAGCGATACATACTACAAAGGGTTCATCAGAATCATTTCAAGACAGAAACCAGGAATATTGGGTCGGATGGATACTTTACTTTCTGGCTTTCGAGCCAATCATCCCCGACGACCTCTCTCAGAAACTTACTTTGGCTTCTTGATCCATTTTGGCGATGTCCAACGACTGTATATAAGGTCCCTGCACGCCAAGCTGATAAGTATGGCGGTCAGGGTGCGGAAAAAAGGCCTTTCAAGCAACTCAGAGGGCGTAGTGGAAGGATTGGATCAATTTGGCGCTGTACTTAAAAAATATGGTAAGCTCCCGTCCTCCATCAATGTGCCCTGCCTTCTGTCTGGACGATCTCATCCACTAACTAAACTCAAACGACAGTTCGTGCCGTGCAAGATCACGAGTACATGGCCAAATTTGCCCTAGAGCGTAATGATCCGTTCATCGCTACGAGCGGAAAGCACAATGACCGCATCTTTTTCGAGGCAGCACTATTCAACGAGGGGCTAGACCTGGAGGATTTTCTTCCCGCTGACCTATCTCGGGCATCCAAAGAAGGGAAGAACACCCAGCCCTCATCAGCGCCTCTGGACGGGGAACCAGAAGGCGAACGGCGTCACAGAGAATGGATAGAGCGCGTGCTCAAAGCCTCCATCCCCACTGGGCCATGGGAAACAGGCGATGGCACAAGTTCACGCAAGTCTGCATCTGCCCTTGTCAACACACGAACTGCATCTGCCAAGATAGCTTTCTGGGAAAGAGTCGGTGCTGCAGTAATTGGTGGCGCATTTCTCATTGGCCCTATGTGGATTCTGGCCTTGGAGAGGAACCTGTTCGTCCATCTCGGGGTGGCGACGGCGTGCGTGACTGCGTTTGGACTTTCGTGTTCGTTTTATTTGAAGACGGTGGACGGAGTCTTTGCTGCTACTTTGGCGTATGCGGCGGTCATTATGGTCTTTGTGGGTGTGGTGCTTGAAGAGGCCGGTGGTATAGGGGCATGATGTCAATGACGGGGAATTTTCCGCGTTTCTCTGAACACAAATCAAAAGAAATTGAAACATTAAATGAAATTTTGGAGTTTAAGAAATTGAGAACAGAGAGAAAATGAAAACAAATTCCAAAAAATTCGGAGTACTTCCGGAAATTTTCCTGTTCCAGGGGCGGTCATCACCCTTATTTTCGTCCCTTCTCGCACCTTCCGTCTCTCACTTCCTCTCTTGCTCTTTCCCTCATCTTCTCCCTTTTTTTTCTTCTTTCCATATCCATTTTATTTTACCAAATGGAAGTTTGTGACCATGATTCAAGGTCTTGCAGCGGCCCGGTGGTTTGGCGTCCTGTCGCGGCCCAGCGGTTAGGAACTCTCAACGTTTGGATATATCAACCGGTGGCACCGGTGTGAAACCGTCTCTATTGAGATACATCACCCGCCAAACGCTCCCTTGGACTCCCAGCCATTTCCTTCTATTTAGCTTCTCCTGAGCCATACGTATCGCTGCGTGGGTTTTCATCATAACTGTTCCACTCTTCACCATCATCTCGTATCTTCGACGCCATCAGAAAGCACCAGCTTCCATTTTCCGGCCTGGGGTTACTTCCAAATCCAACCACCTCGGCAAGCCTCTCTGCATCCTCAGAGGATCTGAGATAAATCTTGTACGACACAGATTGTGGCGCTTCGAGTATTTGGCCCGTTTCATAATCCTAGTGAGGCTTGTAACACGTGCGCGCTTGATCACAAGGCTGCCATTCTCCCATTCTTCGGTCTTGAGAGACCCCTTGCTGGAGATCCGGTCACGAAAAAATTGCTTGTGAAGACGGCGGACCGCAACAATTCTCCTCGTTTCCTCGTCGGTCTGATGTCCAGGCACCTTGTATGCGATACCCGGATCGTAGGTTCCGTGACGGGATTTCGTAGGAAAGAGTTCCCCGCCATCTTAGGGTCGTCATAGTGATAAGAGGAAAGAGGGCCCGTAAATGTCCGATGCCGCCCTTTGATCCGTAACTGACGGGGTGATCTGCATCAAGCGGCAGTTAACACTTGCTGCGCGTTGGGCAGTATTTGGGGCTGTCTAGCTGTAGAGGAAACAGTCCGACCTCTACGATCAAGGGTGCAAACCCGAAGTTTTATGTATTTGTGTCACCTCGTGTAAGGCGCAGTCCGATAACATTGTCGTTGGATTCTCAGCCCCACGGCGCATGCTGGCTGACGTCAATGCAAGTGTTATCGTGATGATACAGGAAAAGGGCTGGAAGCGTAAAATTTAATAGTGCCAAATGATTAGATGGTTATGTACGTACTACCTACACAGCCTTTTCAGCATTGCTACCCAGATAAATTGTGATTCTGCCCTATGCAGGGCGCCATTCACAGCTGACTTCTGTGCTACCTGCCCGCTGAACACTTCCGTTGATCTTAAGCCCTGGAGCTTGATACTTCTATCCTCCCGTCCCCACCTCAACTTGACCGATATTTCAAAGTTATATTCATGGATTGAAGTATTTGGTTTGTCTGCACTTGCCGTCACTCCTGCCTTCGCTTCCATTCAACCTACCGCAACACTCGCAGCCGGTTACATGTACGATTACCACAAGCTTCCAGCTCTGGAAACCATGACGCCGTGCAGGAGTCCGCTAGGAGAAAATCCGCCCACCGCAGTCTCTGTCTCAATGTCTGGTGGGAGCAGAAATCCTGTCCAGGTTGTGCCCGCAAATAACACTACACTGCGGCGTAGCACCTCGCCCGGAAGCCTGGTAGAAGAGGAAGAGGTTCGTGTTCGCACGCGACCTACTGCTCTTCGCTCTCCTCGACACGGAGAGCATCTGCCTCTCCTGTCTGTCGATCAGATCTTGAATAGTCAGACACAACACCGACTATCTCCAACGCAAACTGACGATCAGACCAAGGGTGCTTCAAACAACATCGAGGGCACATCAACCTCAAAATCGGGGTCAGATGATGCTTGCAATAAGACCCAACTCGTGGCCTCTCCAGCAATTGGAATCGACAAGTGGGACACAAAAGATGATTTGCATATATGGCAAAATATGCGGGCAATGCTACACCAGAAGAACCTTGTTGAGCTCATATCACCACAACGGCCTGGGCCACTTGGTTACCTTTACAGGGTGTTTGCATCGGTGACAAACAATCAGGGCAATCTGACCGACGCCGCCGACTTCGGTTACCGTATTCACTTTGCCGACTTGCAAAGGATACATATGCAGTACCTACACAGCAAACTGGTAAATCTGGCAGTCTCAGCGCACTTCAATGGTGATGACTGGAGCCCAGGAGGGAAAGCAGAAGAAATCGGCAAGGTGCTCAAGGAATACAGTACGTTTCTCTTAATATCTTGAAGACAAAGAGGAAAAGAGAAAAAGAAAGAAAAAAAAAAGCTCTAGCCAGAAAGCTTACAAAGCCTTTGCCACACGCCCAGTTCAAGCAGTAAGAGACCACGAGTACATGGGAAAATATGCCAGGCCATCCAACAACCCCTTCATGGCCACCAGCCAACGGCTCTGCGACAAGAAATTCCTCGAAGCAGCCATGAAGAAGAACGGCTGCAAGATGCCCGAGGACTTCCTACCCCCACTACCACCACCACCTCAACAGCAGCAGCACGAACAACAACTCCCGCAGTACAAGACACCCACTCCGCTCATCGAGCGCCTCAAGAAACACTCGGTCCCCACCGGCCCCTGGGAGCGCGACAACACGAACAAGCCAGCTCGTGCACTGATCATCACCCACTCCAAGGCATGGAAGCAAGCCTACTGGATGAGACTCCGCGCTGGCTTAATTGGTGGTGTCTTCCTCATCGCTCCCATGTGGATTATGCCCTTGTTAGAGATAGATTGGATCGTTGTTCCCTGGGCTATTGCGACGGTGTGTATCGTGTGTTTTTGCGTTATGGTCTCCTCCCGCTTAGAGACTGTCGATGGGGTGTTTGCGGCGACACTGGCGTATGCAGCGGTCATCTTGGTGTTTGTGGGTATTGTGAACCCGAGACTGAAGAGTTAGTGATGTAAGACGGAGGAAGGAGAGCAATGGAGTTGGGGAATTGTTCGATCAAATGGGCGGCTTATTGAGTTGAAGGGAAAACGACGGACGTTCCAGCTCCCTGCTCTATACAGGTAGGTTTCCTGCAGATGAAGACCTTGGGTAAAGCGCATGGACCTTCCTATTGTCACGAATGTCATCAAACATGGAATACTTTCAGGGGATTATAGCGGCAGGTACAGGGGGTAGGACACTGAGCGATTGCGTCGGATATTGAGGCTGCGTCAAGTATAATTTCACGTGCAAACAACTGAGGGTCCCCGAACAGCAATATACCAGACTTTGTGGTTTAATTCTAGTCAAGATCATCACGATAGCTGGCGTTTTCCCAAGAAGGTTTTCGAAACAATGGTCGGGGTCGCGATCATCTTTTGTTACCACAGCGTGAGAGGGGTACATAAAGTTGACTCTTATCAAATCTTTCAACAACATCCGGTATAGTGTAACGGTTAACATATCGCGTTTTCACCGCGAAGCTCGGGGTTCGATTCCCCGTACCGGAGTTTCTTTTTGTCTTTTTTTCCTTTTCGCCCTAACCTCGTCTTCCCTCTAATCTTCTTTGTCACTTTCCCTTTTTTTTTTTTCTCTTCAGTCCGTGTCAATCCAGTCTTGGTTTGCAATCACGAGAAATATCATGCAGATCCTACAGCACCAACAATCAGTCAACAACAAAACGTTCAATTTACATCCATCCAAGCCCAACCACTAATCTATACAGTCGTCATGCAGCCATACACGCATCGTACAACCGACACACCTGATATTCCACTACACGTCATCGTAACAATTTCCATCCAACGGTTTGCCGCCCATCAGAAAAAACCATTCCTCCCAAGATCAGAAACATAACACCAGATCCCGATACAAGCTTCCATTATCCAAGATTCAATCCACCAATCCACCAATCCATCCACCAATCCCTCATCCCATATGTCCACCCCCCTTTCCCCTCTCCCCTAATCCCCCATTTCCACACCTCCACACCTCACCAAAGCTCAAAATGATCCATCAACCACCCCTGCCAATCATCTTCCTCGTCATCATCATCTCCATCTCGCGCGCCTTCTTCTAGGTTCGGCGGACTGATGCTGGTGGTGAACCTCCTTGCTGCATCTGAGTAGAAGGAGGCTGGGAGGAGCTGCTTTTCGCGTCAACGCGCGGCTCAACAACACCACTGCTTCCTGTGGAAGCCGACGGGTGTGGGTTGGGCTTAAGTACGAGGTAAGCGCCAGTTAGACCAAGGAATCCCATTGCCAGGTAGCTATAATTTTTTTAAATTTATCCCAGAAACCCCCCTCCCCTTGGTTCCCGGACCCCCGGCCCCGGGGTGGGGTGGGGGGAAAAGGGAAAAAAGGGGGGGAGGGGAAGAGGGTGGTTTGGTTGTTAGTTTTCCGGTTTCATTTGGTTCAACGTAATGGGTAGAAGAAGTAAATTGGTGGATGGATAGACGGGGAAGGGAGATTGGAAGGGAACGGAAAGGAAGGGACTTACAACAAGGTATTATCCGCCTTCCCCACCAACGTCTCATGCTTAGTTCCACTCGCCGTCGTCGTTTTCCCAGACGTCGTCGACTGTTGTTGCTCACTTGCACCCGCACTCGTCGCCGCCGACGCCATCTTCGCAGCCGCAGACTTTCCAGCCGGAGTATCAGACCACGAAGTAGTGCTGTACTGCTCGTCCATCGCAGCAATCGGGTAATCGAGTTCCGCATCAATGTCAGCAGCGAGGATCTCGGGCTCGGTCTTTTCGGTACCTCCACCGCTACCTGAAGAGCGAGAGCCACGGCCGCTGCTGCTTCCGCTTCCGCGTTTGGAAGTGTCGCCTGAGGTGGCGGCGAACCGCTGTTGAATAAACTGCGGTGACGAGCGCATGTGCTGGAGGGGGATCACGGTGACGGTGGCGGCGGCGCGGATGCCGGCGGGCCGGAGGACCGTTCTGTGAACGACACGAGCGAGCGTAGAGGTCGGCATCGTGACGGGTATTTCTCGGTGGAAAACTTCTTGCCTGTTGGGTTTGTTTGTTGCTGTTGTTGTGGTTGTTTGGCTACGAGGTTCCGGAGTGTTTTCGAAAGTCAGCAAGTCGTAAAATGTAAGAAACTGAAACCGTAGAAATGATCAATGGAGTGCGAGAGCAGTTAGGACACCCAAGACTTTTCCTTATACTTCTTTCTCTTATTCGTTATTTGGCGGACTGGCGTATGCGCAAAGGGTTGTTGGCATATGACGTATCGGTGACGGCCATTGCGTGGTGTGCTGAGGAGGTGAAGAACACCGAGCGCCTCCCGGAGATGGACTCCATGGGCGACTGGAGTCTTCGAGAGCCTGTCAATATGGTACAACATCCGGCTGGTCACGGACCTACATAACTACCCGTTAACAAGTCTGCTTTGTACCCAGGGATGAGACGGAGGGAAGGTAGTCGACCATGGGAACTGAAGCTTATTGAACCTCAACGGGCCAACCTTGTGGCCATCGAACGGTCGCGAACATCGTCCTTTGCGCATCACATTCCGACTTTGTGGACGGATGGGAACCAATGGTGTCATGAACCGAGACTTGAATTGTAAGTCCATGGCTGCTCCAGCCAACATCATAGCACCATATCAACACATCGCAGATTATCAAAAATACCATAGACTGTACATAAGCCGTCAGCCGCCCTTCCAAGGAACATCGCTTCAATATGTATACCACGACCTTGCTAACGAACCCGCATTCCAGTTACCCATGGCGCCAGGCAAGTAAGGATAAGTAGAGATCAAGTGCAAACAAACCAACAAACCGAAAATAAGAAATGGGTATCATCAGAACATCATTGTCGCGCCCTTGACCGCCAGCATATCCGCAGCGATGTTGCCTTCGTCCGTCCCGTGCCCCTTAACCCAGACGAACTTGGTCTCGGCGGCCTTCCTATCGCGCATGTCGATCTTCTTGCGGATGGCCACAATCAGATCCTGGTTGGAGACCTCCTCCCCCTTGGCGTTCCTCCACTCGTTCTTCATCCACTTTTTGTACCACGACGTCACGCAGTTGATTGTGTATTGACTGTCGGTGCGGAGCTCGCAATTTTGCGTGTCCGGAATGGCTTCCAGTGCTCGTAGGACGGCAGTCAACTCGGCGCGTTGGTTCGTTTGGACGGGGCCTTGGAGTCTTTCGGAGATGTTTCTGTTTGTGGGGGAGATGTGTTAGAAAAACGAACCACCATGCTGTTCTTGGGCGTCAGACTGCAAACTTACTCCCTGAAACCACCGCAGAAATAGACACCCACCCCCGCCATGGCACCGACCTTGCCATTGCCTCTGGCGCTGCCGTCCGTGTAGATGATGACGGGCTTGCTAGCATCATCAAGGGCTTCCTGAGCCTGGTGAGCAGACTGCGTGGCCCCGGTTTTCCTAGCTTTCCTAGAGCTCTTCGCTGGCCCTTCCAGAGCAATGACTTGCAGGTCATCCGTCTCGTCCACTTGTGGTACCTTGACGGCTTGGGAGGACGGCTTGCCACTCCATTGGCGCACGAATTCCTCGGCCTCGGCGCGGGTCTCGAACTTTTTGTATTTGGGGTTCTTCCAGCCCACCACCTCCTGTTGGGCAATGGACCAGTCTGTGTAGACACCGGGCGTGCGACCGACGGCGACGCCGTAGAACTTGGAAGGTGATGAAGTCGAGGTGGCAGAGGCGACGGGCCGGCCAGCGGCGAATGCGGAAGCGTCCTCGTAGCTCGTGAACGACTTGAACTGGGCACCCTTGAAGCCGGTGATTTGCTGCTGGCAAAGGGCCCAGCTGGTGTAAACGCCGGGCTTGTAGCCGGCACGCACGGCGTAGTATTTGGTCTCGGGTTCCATCTTTCTCTTTGGCGCAGGCATCGTGACGGGTGATTCGAAATTAACGGCTATGTTGAGGCTGAGGAGCTTATTGCCGACGAGTTCGAGAATCTTATCGTGACGGGATTGTTTTCGTGGTTGTTTTGTTTGAAGACGGGTTGTCTTGCTCTTGCGATAACGAGACTGAAGCGCGGGACGCTGGGCTTTAAAGCGTCGATAAGCGTCGGTCAAGATCCTGAGCCTGTGACTGCGAAAGAAGCCGTCCAAGAAACCTGCGGGAGGATGTATCGATAACTCTTTGTTTGTCTCTTTTTGCGCTGTCTCACTTTTCGTCTTGTTTTTCTTTCTGCGCTTCGTCGACAGGCAGCGCAATCCCGGTGAACCAACCCTGGCGTCGTGGGCGTTCAAAGAAGCCGGCAAGGACAGCGAAGGCAGGCGATTCAGAGGAGACAGCAGGCGGACCAGGCGGGGCGGGAAGGGAAGGAGGAATGAGAGGAGGAAGGGGGACTGCCACTGGACGCGATGCAGATTGGAGGAACGAGAGGGGAACAACATCCAATGCGCCAGGTGGGATGGTGGGATGTGGAGGGGATGGAGGGGATCAGATGCTGCTTCCTTCCTGCGAGGGGATGTGAAGCGGGCGTTGGGTTTGCGCCTGCAACAGACAACACAAGGCAAGGTAGGAACCATTCACTGAATGGACAAACAGTCGCAGCGCTCCGGTTCCTTTCCCTTGCGCTGGGCTGGCCAATTCCCCCGCCTCTTCCAGGCCCGTCAGGTACGGCGCCGGTAAGCTTCCGATCATTGATAAGATAACCCAAAATTCAGGAACACGCGGTCAACCCTAACCCAGACACATCTTGTAACATTCTCGTCAGTTTGAACAAGTGGAAGTTGAACAGCTCTTGGTGCTTTGTTACCATTGCATACCTATCGCATATGATGATTTTTCCTCCTTTGAGCAGCAAGTAGCAATGTTCCAAAATATACAAGTTGTGATCTTTGTTTTGCATGTTAGGAAGGTAGGTTGTAACTCGCTACATACTTGTAATCCGTAACGTAACAGCCTCACCTCAGACAATGGGTTTCTTACATCGTGAACATCCCTTTCACCCAGAACCCCGGTGACATGTTTCTAGTTTTTTGAGCGTTTACCAAAAATCATTTAAACTACCCACCAATTGTTGATCTGTTTCATTCAAATTTTGGGAATATCATAACTCTCATTATGTTGGAGAGATGGTGAACTTGACAGGAGACAGACCAAAGGCGTGGAAGAACAATACCGCCTGGGTAAGGTTACAAAACATTACCGGGTTTCCATTCCACATCATTTCCCCCGTCTCTTGACATTTTCTCTTTTCCTTCTTGATTCTTTTGTCGGTCGATTCAGACATTTTAAGCACAACGAATGTATGAATTTCCATCAACGATACACGAGTTTCGCTTGACTTATTCCTAGTATCAGTTCGTCGCACAGTTATCATCGTTGTACCATCTTCAAACAATCCATCCTTTGCACTTTCATCCATACACCTACCATGTGAATCCTCTCCTCCTCCTCCAGAAACACCTCAATCAATTCACTTACTTTCCCAAGCTCTGCCTCACATAATCCAACAACAAAGGTCCCACCCTGCTCGCAATGATCTTATCCCCATTCGCATTCGGATGCACTCCATCTCGCAGGTCCGACGTCTTGAACCCCGTATAACAATCCGCCACCACAATCGGCGACTCGGTCGTATTCAGTTTGGCTGCCCACGCGGGGATCTGGGCGTTGATGGCCTGGACGGCAGCGTTGGAGTAGGAGAGGGGGATCATTTGGTCGATCTTTTTTTTTTCTCTCGTTAGTTTCATCATGAATGTTTCCCATCAGTAACCCCCGGCCAAGTAAGTAAACTCACAATAATCTTCATCCTCGGATTCGCCCCCCTCATAATCCCCACCATCTTGGTATACGCATCCATCACCTCCTGCGTGCTCTTCCCCCGCGTCACATCATTCGTCCCCAGCATGAACATGACAATGTCCGCAGGGGTCTTCTTCAGCCACCCTTCCAAATAGTTATTGGCAATGTCGACGGCCAGCCACCCCGAGTGGCCCTCGTGGTGTTGGTCCCAGTTGGCCGTGGACGGTCGGCAGTTTTGCGGGTTGGAGTTTTGGGAGCCGACGTATTGCACGGACGACGCAAGGTTGGCGGCGGCGAGTTGGTCCCAGACTAGGGCGCGCCAGCAGGTGATTTCGGTTATGGAGTCTCCTAGGGGCACTGCGGAGGGGGAGGGAAGTTAGTTGGTTGGGAGCAGAGGGGGAGGAGAAAAGGGAAAAAGGAAAAGGGAAGAGGAAAGAGAAAGGTGAAGTACTAATGCGAAGCTTCTGCGGAGTGGTCTGCCGCTCAGCGAGCTCGATTGGGCTGGCGAGGACTGCCGATGTTAGGGCGAGGGAGTTGAGGATGAGATTAGGGAAAAACATCTTGGTGGGTTGGTTGGCTACCTAGCCAAACGTGGATGGTGACTGTGGTGGTGGTGATAGTTCTGGGTGTGAGTGTTTGTCACCTCTTTTACCAGATCCTAGTATCTAAACAGACAGAGGAGCGAGCAGCTTTTATTTATGTCCATCGATCTACAGTAGTTACCACGAACAAGACGTTGCACTCAATCGATCCGGTCTCTCTCTCCTACTATGTATATTCTTTCTCATTCATTTTATGGTACCTAACCAGGGTAATCAGGTATTAAACCTAATATTGATCCGTAAAAATTCTGGATATTTATCCAACCGACCAACCATCCCAAATATTCCAAGCCAACCATTTCCACATATGGACCCGTGACCGTCCTGGCATATATACACCCGGAATCCCATCTCCATCTGCACTAGACCGAGTTCAAACACACACAATGCAAGGCAGTGAGTGTCTGACTGCTAACCATTGGCCACGTAATTTTGACTTCATCCGGGGTGGTAGATGGATCTGGCTGCACCGGATCGGGAAACGTCGAAGGAAAAAAGAAACGTCTAACGGTGGAAGATATATCCGGCACTTTTTGCATAGGATATTTATCTATACCAGTTGAGATCGGTAGGGCTTCTTCCGATTGGGACGCTTCGACGGTCTTATACTTGTGCGAGACAGGTAGGATGCCAAGCAAAGGTGGGAAGCGGGCCAAGCGGCTCAATGCGCATCTGTTTGGCACATCTCGGGGGAAAAAGGCAGGATGTCGGTGCGAGATGGATCCGTTCGGGAACCGGCCCCGACGTCGCGAATGATATTGGTGGATGGGTGTTACCAAAAATTGAACCAAAGGAATTTTACTGGGGCGAAAATTGAATTGTTGTATCAAGATGCGCCTCGGCGATCATATGCGATCAAGGCCATGTGACGCTGTTACACACAGCGTCAATGCAACTTCAAGTGACACAAGCAGATGAAGGGGCTGTTGAAGTGCGAGATCATTGGGGGTATAATAAACTGGATGCGCTAAAGGTAGGTAGGCAGGTAACTTTCGAATCCCATCAACAATACCTCCTCCGGATAACCCGGGTAACCCGGAATTCGTTTATCCGAACGATCAATGTTTAGTAGTAGCAAATGCCACCGACATCGTCGTCCACAGTCCACGAAGCGGCCAAACCGGGTATCACAGCCTCCTCAGTCTGGGACGCGACCTGCAAGCCAGCGCCCTCTTCGGGCTTTCCAGCAAAGAAGTCGCCCTGGCCTTCGGTGCGGATCACGCGACTCATAAACCGGTGAGCCCACGCCTCCACGGCCGGCTCTCCCGTCTCGTCGCGGGCCTGTTTCAAAAAAGAAATGAGCGCCGTTCCACCGGTGCCCTTAAGGCTGTCCTTCTTTCCATCACCCCTGGTGTCCAAGGCAATTCCGGGGGGTTGCTGGCGCGACGCAGTCGCCAGGTTGATCTTGCGGCGGACAGCCTCGGGACTGCGGCTGCGGCTGCGAGTGCGCACTTCCTTGCTGGGCAGGACAATGTAGCGAGTCACAATGGCAATGTGCTTGTCACGGAGAGCACGCAGCATGGCCAAGCAGGCGTCGTAGGCGATGCACAGCGGGCGGTCGTCACGGTGCTCCTCGACAAACTCCCGGATGTTGGCCACGGACTGCACATGGTTGAGGAAGCGGGCATGGGGACCGGGCATGTACTTGCGCATCTCCAACAAAAAGTTGTGCTTGGGGGCCGGCGCATGGCCCTCGCCTTGCTCCTGGGGCCGGCCACGCTTTTCGCCCGTGGGGCGGTGTTCGATACCCAAGACGATATCGAAGAATTGGATCAAACTGCTCTGGGCATTGCTGCCTCCAGAGTACTGACGGTACTCCTCCTTTCCGGACCCGTCCTCATAAATGACGCCATGGGGTAATCCAGCATCGGCCATGTTCTTGGAACCGGCAAGGAAAGGGCGAATGCGGTCATAGAAAATCTTGGGATCGCAACTCTCGTGCATGCGCTGCAACAAAGTAGTGAGATCGTCAAGACGTTCGGCAAACGTGTGCAGACAGCGAGTGACGGTAGCGGCATCAGCCTCGCGAGCTGCGGCAATGGCAGTCAGCATGAGCGGGATGATGGGCGCACCACGGGCCTCCATGGCAACCGAGACCAGGTAGAACCATGACTCGTCAATGGCGCCGGTGAAGGTGCTGAGGGTGGCGAGGTTCTCGAGGTTGTCGATGTCCTCGTCCATGAAAAGAGGCTTGAAGTTCCAAAGACAGACGGCTGCATAGGTAGCGACGGGCGGCACCTCAAGATGTTCCGAGATCTTGAGCAGAGGGACTGCGATGGAAGGCGGCAGACGGTCACTGGGGCTGTCACCGCTCCAGATGTAGCCGTGGGCCATGAAGGACAGCAGCGAGTAGGCTCTGCGCCATTCTGCGTCGTGTTCCAGACCGATGGTGTCGAGCACAGGGAGACGATCAACGACTCCGCGAAGTCGCTTGCTGAGGATGAGAGCCTGCAGGTTGGCGGCAATGGCCTCCCACTTGTTATAGTAGGGATCCGGGAGTCTCGTCAACGGCAGGACATCGGGGAGGAAGCCATGGGTTGGAGAGATTCCATAGTCGGCCAAGACGGGGATGGGAGGAAGCATGACTTGTTTTGTTTTTGTTTGGATGGTGACGGTGAACAAAGGAGTCAGTTGCTTAGATGAGTGATCCTCTAGGGATGAAGCCTAGGTGAAAATAGTAATTCAGTGGTGATGATGGTTCTTTTGAAGGAACTAAAAAGACCTGACGCAAGGAGTATACAGAATGTTCTCTGTAATACTCCTCAGCCGTGCGATATTCTGTGTAGCGTGTCGCATGTACCTGGACGGTGGTGAAGATGGTGGTGAGAGGAAGAAAACAGACAGAAAGTTGGATAGAATAAAAAAGAGGAAGCTTTGTTCTTTTTGTTTTTTTTTTAGATGAGTTGGTTGGGAAGAGGAACAGGAAGGTAAGTAAGTACCTTTTTGGCGTGTAACATATACAAAAGGTACTTGTACCTAGTCGCAAATACCAAAAAGAGAGAATGAAAAATTCGCCCCCTCTTCTTACGCCAAGCCAGTGACTAAGAAAATGAGTTTTGGGTTTCGAGACTCTTCCCAGCCGACCATCGCTTGGAAATCCCGATCGGGGGCTTTGATCAAAGGGTGGAGCCGGGGGTTGGGCGGTGGGATGACTTGATGCCCTGGTTCATGAGACCAAAGGGATGGGCAAGACCTAACTGGGGGATGGACAGGGAATATCGAAAATGTCTTGGGCACTCTGGCACCGAGAGTGGTATCATCAACTCCGACTGCGGAAGGATGGGAAGATGCTGAGTAGGAAACGGGCATGAACAATGTCAGATACTCGGCTATGCACGGAGGAGGATTGGTAATGATGCCAACGCCGAGTTCCGTCCTTGGGTCAATGTTCGTCCGTGAACAACCTTGAGCTTTAATAAGCGAACAGACGTTTGTTTCGACTGATCTTGTTTCCGTTTCAGAGGTCATGGCGTTGACACGATGCCCTGAACCCCGATGTCCGGGGTGGTTATGACAACATGAGAGAGGTTGAGAAGTCAAAAAGGCACAAGACCCACGCATGACAAAAGAATCATGGGTGTGCCATCAACCACTGGTAAGGCAACCAATTGATGAAGGAATTGGATGGCACACGATATGCCGTCGTACGGCGGTATGTAGCGTACAGTACCTGGAAGGCTTTGCCGTGTGTCGTCAACACACACAGTAGTGTATTGGAGGAAACCGTCAGAGATGATTTGAAAGAAATGGAAGCAACCAAAAAGACATCAATGGCCAGACAGCCATAAAACAGTGGCGGTTAAATTGGGTTGTCACTTCCCATGTCATGTCACTGATGTCGACGATGAACGCGGGGCAAAAAAAATAAAGTGGACGAGCGAGTCTTCAAGGTCCCCAATTGATCAATCCAACGGGCGGGATCGGCGGGGCAGGCAGGCACTGATAATTCTATCTCCACGTGCCGGAGTAGGTACGCAATTGACCCCGCGGCCGAGGATTCTTGGCGGGGAGTCTTCTTGGAGTCAGTCAGGTGGTCCAAGCTCCCTCCATGAGCGATGTTGGTCGCACTCAGGCGCAGGTCGTCATGCCGCCAAGAAACAATGAGTGCGGGAACGTTCGAGCTTGGCCAACAACCACCACAGGGCACCTCAACCACCAAGAAGACAGACACTGGCGATCCTCGGATCCCATTCCTGCCACGTCCTCACACACACAGACACACTTTTCAGTTCGAGATGCGACGATAGTGACACCAACACAATCCCAAGGTTTGGTCACTTTGAATAACTTGGACAAGATGGTCGTTCAACAACATATCTTGAACTGGCTCTATAGCGTGCTGACCAGTGTATGTCATGCCCATGGGATGTCCACTACCATCTCGTCCTCCTAGAAGCCAACCTATTGACTCTGATTGACTGACTTGCTCCGCCTCCAGGAATATCACGATGTCAACCGCACATACAACGATGTAGCCCAAGTGCTCTCCCACTACCCATCGCTCTCTCCACGAACCGATGTCCACAGTACGCTGCCCTTCATCAATGCCACTATCCCGACCGTTATCTGACCGATGTGCTCCTATCACAGCCTTCCCCAACGGCGCATCCGCCCTCCTCGTCCACCTCTCGGGAACACTGCCCGTCGTCTTTCGCGGCACCACGTACCGATTCCCAATTTCAGTATGGGTTCCCCAGGCCTATCCCCGCGAGGCCCCCTTGGTCTACGTGACCCCGACCGAGCACATCATGGTACGGCCAGGCCAGCACGTCGACCCCCAGGGTCAGGTGTACCATCCCTACCTTGCCGGCTGGTCGACGTATTGGGATAAATCCACCATTCTCGACTTTTTGGCCATATTGCGCGATGTCTTTGCCAAAGAGCCTCCCGTCATTGCTCGTCCACCTCCTCAAGGGCAGGTCCGGTCCCCTCCGCCCCAGCAGCAGCAACAACCACAGCCACCACAAGCGCCTGGAGTACCTACACCACCACCAGTGCCACCACTTCCCCAAGAACTAGCCGCGAAGTCGCCGGTTCCAGTATCTTTACCGGCCCAACAAGACGGAGCAAGACCTCCACCTCCACCACCGAAGCCCGGCGCCCCTGCTGCTGCTCCCATACTGCAACACCAACCCTCTCCGGCACCATCCTACGCCGCCGCTCCTCCGGTGCCTCCCCATCCTCCACATCCCGGCAGACCTACGAGCCAACACGGCGGTCCTGGAGCATCGACAACACAATCCCCCAGACCAGGCCCCTCTCGCTACGATGCTCCTCCACCTCTACCTCCACACCCGACAACACAACAACAACAACAACAGCAGCAGCAGCAGCCTCAACCGCCCCATGGCGCGCCATACCAATCACCTCCTCCAGTGCCCGCTGCCCTTCCTCACAACCAGGCACCACCACAACCTCCCTTCTCCCAAATGGACCCACGAAGGATGTCAACCCTCCAACAACACACTCCCCAACACTACGCATCACCACCCAACTGGCAGCAACAACAGTACCCACCTCAAGCCTTACCACCACAACACCAACAACACCAATTCCCACCACAACCTCAGCCTAAACCCCCTCCGCCCCCCGACCTCCTAGATGACGACACCCCCGCCTCCCCTCCCTCCTCCACCCCCGGCGCCGGCGCCAACGCCACAACAATCACTGCCTCTCCCGACGCTCCTCCTCCCCCACCTCCCAACCCCGAAAAAGACGCCCTCCTCCGACAGCTCGCCTCCACTCTCCACTCCCACCGCCAGCACGCCCGCGCCCAAAACGACTCCTCCCTCGCCGGCCTCCAAGCCCAACGAGCAGCAATGAACCAAGCAGCCACCACTCTCCAAGCCGAGTACGCCCAGCTTTCTCAGCTCTCGGCTCTTTTAACTTCCAACACGGCCATTCTGCAGGAGAGTTTGAGGAAAGCCGACGCCGTGATTGAGAACTCCAAAACACTCAAGGAGCCGGATATCGATGAGTTGCTGGTTGCCCCGACGGTGGTGGGCAACCAGCTTTATGAGCTGGTGGCGGAGGAGAGGGCCTTGGCGGATGCCATCTTCATGCTGGGACGGGCCGTGGAGAGGGGGAGGATTGCGCCCGGGACGCATGCCAAGATGGTGAGAGGGTTGGCGAGAGAGTGGTACTTGAAAAAGGCTCTGGTGAAGAAGATTGGGGATGGTATGGGACTCAGTCAGTAACAGTGATGATGATGGACTGGGAGACAGGCCAGAAAGGTAGAGTAATAATGCGATGTAGATGAATGGATGATTATGAACAACAATCCCTCTTTTCTTCTTTTTTTGGTGGCTGTTTTGGGTTATGGGTGCTTACTTGCCGTTCAGCAGACTTGTTACTTGTTACACCGACGGAGACCAAAGAAGATGGAATCAGCTATTCTTTTCCTAACAATTATCACTATCAACCATCACATTAACCCCCCTCTTTATGGCCTAACATAACATCTGAAGGCCGAACAAAAACCACAAAAGGGCCCAATAAACTATGATCCAACAACAACAACAACAACAAGCTCAGAAACGTCTGCCCGCTGCTCTAACAATGCCTGCCATAGGCTACTGCCCTATACCTGATTTGTCTTGACTGATCGCCCTTCACAATTTGGCATGAAGAACACTCCTCAAACTTCCAGCTTTTCCAGCTTTTCCAGCCCCGGCGACCACCGTCGACTCCGGACCATCACTTGACAATCCTGACATCTCATCCTTCGCCACTTCTTCAAGCCGAAATTTACCTTTACCTTCCACATCACTGAAGCTCTCGATCCTCCTCAAGTTCAGCACCCGCGCCGGCCTCGGATGCTGCAGCCCATCCTTGGGCGTCGCCACCACAACGTCCTACTCGTCATGACGCAGCGACTCGGTGGTTATAGTTCTGTTGGGAATGGGAAGAGTAGCTGCAGCAGTGGTGGCAGTAGGGACAGCGACGTCACTATGGGCATTACTGTTCCCGGCGGAAGCGGTACCAGCACCAGAACCAGTCTCGACACTACCCTTGCCCAACAATGACGACGACCGGCCGCTTCCCTTGCGTTCCTTCAATCTCTGACCGATCCCAAACGCAGCGGCTGCTGCTCTCTGTCCCCAAGAAATGCTCCATTGCCGACGCGACTGCACTTGATCGATGAAGGAGGGTGGGAACGATGTTGTTCTTGCTTCCTTTCCTTTCTGCTTGGTCAACTTGTTACCGTTCGATTTTCGGTCACCATCTTGGCTATAATCATCATTGCTGCTGTTCCCGCTCGAGAGACGAGGCAGCACAGCCATGGTGAAGCTCTTCCTCAGAGAAGTTGAGGGAGCACGGGCAGCTTCGACAACATCTCCATGAGATCTCCTGGTGGGGATTAAGCCTCGCTTGCGGCTCATGATGCTGCCGACATCAGTTGGTGCCGTTGCGCTCTTCGTGATCTTGCTGCTGCTGCCTCTGACAACTGCAGGTGGTTGGGTCGGCTGAAGAAAGGGATCATCATCTTCTTGGTCTCGAGACCATTCCGGGGCTAAACTGCCATCCTCAAGGGACATCGACCCGTGGTGTTTGGAGTCATGGCGGTGTGGCACCGTTTGATTGACCTTGTCCAGATGCGGCCATTGCTGCAAAACAGGGTGCCGAGCAATAGCCCCCGCCGACCCCGACGATCCAGATCCGGACCCAGAGGCAGACACCCTTGTGCTCGGGAACGATGTGGTGATAGTTTCTGTGGTTGACTCACCACGCTTGCGCTTCTCTCCCTCCGGACTGCTTTGGCCGTCTGCCACCGCAACATTGAGGTCAAGATCCCCGTGCGAGCCCGATACCTTCCACAACACGCCTTTTACAAAAAACGTCGACTCGCCCGTCTCCTTGTTTGTCGAACTCATGACGAGTGGCTGCGCCTTGGATCCGTTACTGCTTTTGAGCTTACCCTTCCCCTTCCCCTCGCCGCCGCTCGTGCCCGCGCCCCCGCTATCCTTCCTCTTGGACATCGACATCGACATCGACACGGCATTACTGATCTTCCGCCCCGCAGCCCGAAGCGCCTTACCATTTCTGCTGCCGCGGTTGCCGTTGTCCCGATTCCTGCTCGTGCCAAACGACAGCACCCTCACCACCCTGCTCCCAGAAGATGAACTTCCATGGCCCTTCCGGCTAAAGGCAGCCAAATGCGTATCTCGAGATGAACCATCGTTGAGGGATTGAGAAGAACTATCGGTCTCCGATGACTTCCGCTTACTGTGCATTGACAGTGGCAGGCTTACTATGCTACCACATCCGTTCCGACCGTTTTTCGAGTGACCGTGGGTGGGGCCGCCGCCGCCGCCGCCGCCGCCGAGCTGCTCGAAGAGACTAATACGCTCCTTGACGGGTGAATCTTCTCCAGTCGCTATTCTTTTCATGTCCTGCTTCTGCTGCTTCTTGATCTTCCTACGCTGGAAGTAGCTGGTGAGGCCAGTACCAGCAGCTGGGCCCGAGGTCTTACGCCGGTACCCACCGAGTGATGACGGTAGAGTCTTGCTCCGCTTGCGTGTGCGTACCACGCTCGAGGCAGTTGAGCTGGCAGTTTCGGGAATCACATCTGAGCTCTGTTGCTGCTGCTGCTGTTGTTGTTGCTGATACGAGCGACGGGATGCCTTTCGAGTTGTCACGGCCACGGTGGTCGATACCATGATGGGTGCACTAGGGTTGGCCTTCATGGGAACCCCGAGGGTCAATGTCTGCGCCCTGCGCTTTTGGATGAAGGGCAGGAAGGGTGCTGAGCCTGGGCCCGCGGGGTTGTTGTCAAACACTCTCTGCAGATCCTTGACTCTGTTCGCAGGGGCGAGTGGTGCTGATGTCGAAGTTTCACTGGAACTGCCTGACTTGGGCTTGCTCTGGTCTAAATGGCCGTGGCTGTGGGAGGTGGTGAGGGGCAGGGGCCCTGAAGCCGAGTGACTCGCCCACGGTTGTTGAAGGGTTACTGTGGTTTGGGGACCGGTAGTAACCTTAACGGAGAGGGTGCGTGAAAGGAGCAAGTGATGCTGGGAGCTGGGGCGGCGTGTGGACGTGTGCGCTGATGTCCTGGTTGGGGTGTCGCTGTTCTTTCGGTTGACGGGCCTCCGCGAGTCCACCACAGCATCAGAAACGTTGCCATCATGCGACCCAACAAGACGAGAGGCTGTGCTGTGAAGCTGTGTCTGCTTTAGGCTCGATGAGGCATTGTTGTCGACTCTATGGATTGGTTGGTTTGCCGCCTGTCCTGGGTGAGGATTCGTCTGAGCAAAATCCTCTGAAGAACGAAGGGTTTTGACCCTCGTCGGTGTAATGGGATCCTTTGACTCTCGCCTGGGTGTCATTGGTGTTGGGACTTCTGTGGCTGTCGATAGGCCTTGGGTGAGAGTACGGCGGAACCGCCGCTGGGTAGAGCTTGGCGTTTCTGGTCGAAGATCGGGAAGAGATGAGTGCTCAAAAGACATGCGAAGGGCAGCAACACTCTTCCTTCTTTCCCTCTCGGGTTTCACGCCGTCTGTTGCCGACTGTTGAGAGGATAGAACAGGAGCCGAGACTTTGGCAGCAACGGGTCGCCGCGCCGAGACCGTGAAGGGCTGATCAGGATTGACGATCTCGGATTCTCGCCTCTGTTCACCCTGAGAAGGGACACGTGCAACTGTACGGGTGACGACCGGGGTGGCAATTGGGCTATCAAAAGGCCGAGGCACTACAACCGTCAGCTTTGATTCCGATCAAGGACTTATGCAACAGTTGATGGGACAGTAACATACCAGTGCTTCCTGACTCAAAGAGCTTTCGCCTCGCTGCAACATTACTCGGATCCCAATGTTGAGGTCCGTTGGTAATGGGGACTTTGACATCAGAAGCCACTTCCTTGGAACGAGCTCCTCGGTGAGCCTGGGACGACCTTGGTAGGGAGATATTGACGTGTTTCTGGCTTGACTGTTTTTCGATCAGATGATGGCCTTGACGCGGTGTAGCATGTTGTAACTCTGCGTCATCTGGTGTTGGCGTTGGGACCGCGGGTGGCCTTTGGCCTTTGTCTGGAGATGGAAGCTGCAAGGCTCTGGCGTCAGAAGTACCCATAACATCCAGTATCTCAAACTTGGATACCAGAGAGGCGAGCTTGGGTGATGTTTGGTTAGGAGCCGTTCGGTATGTGGAAGGGGTTGCAGCTCTGTGCATGATGGTGTTGAGGCTTTCCCCGTTGTTTCGTTTGGTACTGTTGGGGGTTCTGCCCGAGGTGGCCGATGAGTTGCCTCGAAATAGGCTATTATCACTCTGGCCGCCGCTCGAGTTACTCTTCCTCGTCAGGCGGAGAGGAGCCGGCTTGAGTTGTGCGTCGGTAAAGTCGGTCTGGGCCGGTGAGCCTGGCTCTTCCCCACCGGCGGCCATTGTGGGAGATTGATCTGAACCTGAGTTGGGCATTGAAGGGACAGGGGAAGAAAGACCTCCGGAAGGGAATGTTGGGGTCGGAGGACCAAATACCACCAGTACAGTCGTATAATGCCGACTCGAGCTGTCACCGATAGGGGGATGCCAAACTCGCCGCAATGGAGGGGACCTCGAGTGATGAGGTGGATGAGGTGGATGTGAAATGGATCTTAATTGGATCCGGATTACCAGAATACTATCAAGGTGAAGGTCCTGTCCTTCCACTTGGTTGCGTTTGACTTCTCAACGGTCCCGCGGAAAGTGCTCTTTTCCACCCATCAAGTCCACTGGGTCTACCAACCTTCATAGGCGGCACCCTCCTCCTTTGACACCCTCACTTCCGACAAACTTGAGCTTCTGAAGGGAAAGAACAAGACGGCCGCTGACAGCGGACTCAATGTATTTCCCACCCCTTTTGCTTCTTTCCAATTCATCAGTTTGTGTGACAAGGCAATACCCGGCCTTTTGTCATCACCTCGCCAACTCCACGCTTCAATTTTTCTCCATCGGAGGAAGCCAACACTCTACAAGTCTACCTGCAACTCTGATCGCCTCTGAACTTGCATGGGCATTGGAAACTACCGTACGGGCTTTCGGTCCCGATCTGAAAACTGTCACTTTGATTCATTCATTATTACCTAGAGGTAACTACCCACTGTACCATTCCGTCCTATTCCGGGTGTCTTCAGCCCATTCGCTCTTCCTCATTACTACTTCTTCTCGGCGTCCTTCTCCTTTTCAATCTCTTTGACCGTTTCATCCTCGGCGAGCGTTGGCGTCTTCTCGTCCATGAGCTCAAAGGCCCTGTCCAAGAGCTCGATGTGTGCCACACCGTCCTCAACAAAGGCCACCTCAACCTCGACCTTCTCTTCCGGTTTACTCTCATCAAGCAGCTCGCCAGGGATGAAGCCGGCCTTGAGCTTGTGACGAGAGTAGCTGGTGTACACCTTTTTACGGCCATCGGCGCAGATGAGGTCGAGGAGCTTGAGCGTGAACTTTTGGCAATTGTTGTCAACCAGCTTGTAGACCTCGTCCATGTCCTGGATGGCTTCGATGCCTGATAGCGGCCACAGTTAGCATTCGGCGGAGAAGACGCTCATATGGGAGTACACGTACCAGCCGAAGCAATGGCATTGTCATTGAACCTGGTCTCACCAACCTCATACAGCTCCCACTTGTCGGTCCAGTCCTTGACATTGTTGTCGTACCAGTTCCAGTGCTTGCCGTCCTGCTTGGTGGCTTGAAGCTGATGGTAGTAGTCACCAACTAGTACGCACCAGTGGTAGTTGGGGCTGGGCATCGAACCAAGATAGTGGCCGCTGCTGATGATGTCGGCAATGAGTCCCAGAGTCCAAGCACCGAGCTTGCCGCCGACGAAGCGGGAGGCGATGTAAACCTTGCGAGGCGCATCGTTGATGTTGGGCTCACCGGCTGGAACACGGTTGACGTTGGGGAAATGGCGGCCCATGGTGATTGAAGGATGGGAAAAGAGTTGGCTGGTGGGATGTGCTTGAGGTTTCTTTGAGGGCTGTGATGAGTTTGATGTCTTGATACCACAGGGACTGACTGGGACATGACAGTCTTTATACTCATCCACAGACTATCATTCATCCATCATCTACATCTTGGGCTGCCTCAACTTGGGCACATAATCCGCTCCGTGTGCCTTGGGCACCTCTATGGTTCGATTCGCATGCTCAGCTTCGGCTTTGATGTTGGCTTTTCCTCATCCGTCCTTCAGCTATCGCCAAAGAAAGCTCAGCCCAGCAAAGCATCGATAGTCTGTCAATGAAGAAGCAAGAGTCCAATGCATTTCCCAATCAGCTTGGCAAACGAAGGCCATAGCAACCGCCGTTGAGGTTGCAGTAGGCTTTGCATCTGGCCATCGAACCCGGAGATAGCGCCGGGAGCTGAAGTGCCTGGCGGTCCAGACCGTTGACTTTCTTCACGTGGCTGGCATTTGCATGCTAGCTTGGTGCGTGGTTCCCCAGATTGGCACGCATACCCTTGCATTGGTGGTCTTTCAGCTGGGCACTAGGACAGTACAGCCTACCAACTAGCGCCATTCCCATCAATAGTCTGGATATCACATGCGGCCTCAGTTCTTCAGTCTTTATTGGAGTAATGTTTCGAGGGTCCAAGAGCATGAAGATTATGCTATTTGCAGTCAAAGACGGTTCTCGCCGTTCGACTCTGGCGCTTCACTGTATGGCATGTCAAGAGATGTTGAAGAAGACGCCAGTCCCCTTCCCCCCTCCCCATTCGCAACACATTTTCTGTTCACTTTTGACGATCCCTTCAAGACATATAGTCTCTTGCAAGTCATTGACCATCATCTGTCGCTGAAATGGCCCAACCGCTATGCTTCTTCATACCAGATCATATCTTCACACCCACCACAAACAGCAATACCGTTGCGAACAAGGTAGAAGAGCCAAAGAAGAGCAACTTGCAGGCCAATGCAAGCTACAGAGTAGCCAACTCTTGGCGCAACGAGGGCTCCGAAAACGAGGACTTGAGACTCTTTGCGGTATCGAATGAGCTTGTCATAGAAAGTTTCGATGAGATTCAAACACAAAAAGTACAAGAGCCTGTTGAGGAGGCCTATACTCCCACCAAGGCGGTAAGAGATGGTTATGAGGTACGTCTTCCTTTTGTGTCCTGTAAACAGCATCAAAAATGGGACTAACACTCCGTCAGAACACGCTCAGCGAGACGATCCGCATCCCACGAGATGACCTCAAGTTCCCTGCCTCGATACCAATCGAGCAATCCCGTTGCGTCTTTGACCTCCAATTCAGCAAGCACCCCTGGAGCTTCCCAGGAGTCTTGATGCGATGCGAAGGTGAACCCGCCCTCGAGCGCCAAGGTGACCCAGCAGTCAACCAATGCTACGACCACATGGGCATCGTGCGCGACTTTTACCGTGAAGTGTTTGGCAACCACGCCATCTTGGGCGAGGGTATTCCCCTTGTCGGCATAGTCCACTACGACTTCTACTTCCCCAATGCCTGGTGGCATGAGCGCGACGAGAAGGACGAAGGCTCCGTCCCCGGCCTCATTTTTGGGGACGGATGGGATACGGATCCTTGGAAGAACAACCAGCCGACCAAGTGGTATGGGGGCTGCTTCGGTAATTTTGTCGGCAGCTTGGAGATTGTAGCGCACGAGATGACGCATGGCATGGTGCACTCGCTCTTGAAGCTGGAAACGACGGAGGAGAGCGGGTCGCTGCATGAGCACCTTGCTGATGTGTTTGGGATGATGTGCGAGCAGTGGCATAAGAATCAGACTGTTGACGATGCGGACTGGCTGGTAGGAGAAGACCTTGTTGCTGAGCAGTTTAAGGATTTGCAAGGGTTTGCGCTGAGGTCCGTCAAGGCGCCGGGGACAGCGTATGATATTGAGGATCTAGGGATTAAGGATTCCCAAGTAGATCATATGAGCAGTATGATGAAGGACAAGAGAGATGTGAAGAGCATCTATGTCAATATGGGCATCATGAACAAGGCTTTTTACCTTGTTGCAAAGGCGATGCGGAAAGATTCCAAAACTTGGGAGAAACCGGGCAAAATCTGGTATACTGCGCTGCAGAAACTGCGCGCGTTGGGAAGATCGAAGTGCGAAATCACTGGCTGGGCTACTATCACAGTTATAGCTGCCAAGAATTTGTTGAAGGACAAAACTATTGGGCAGGACGACGTTCAGGCGGTCATAGATGCATGGAAGGAGGTTGGCGTGTTGAAGTAGATAGTGACTTGCGGAATGCTGTGTGAAGGAGTGCGCCTATTTTAGTGCCATTTCCTTTACTAATAATATCAACAAGGTCCGCTGGCTCAATGGCAGAGCGTCTGACTACGAATCAGGAGGTTCCAGGTTCGACCCCTGGGTGGATCGAGTTCACCATATCGATGTTTGATATTTTTTGGGTTTCCGGTATTTTTTTCTGATTTTGGTGGCGAGTTTGGATATTCTCGGCGTGGTTGTTGGAGGCAGGGTTAGGGTTGAAATTGTTAGTACAGTTACCATTCACCACTCCACTGGAACACGCCATCGATAGGTTGCTACTGTGGCACTCGCGATAGCGTCGAACAAACCCCGCAGCAACAACAACAATCAGCCAAGAGACTCATTGACGACACTCCTCTTTATCTGCCTGCGCAACCATCCAAATCCTTTAGTTCTGCTTGTAATCCAGTCGAAAGTGCATTAAGATCATCACAATGGCTCTTGTCGTATGTTTTTATTTCTCCGGCAACCTTTGTTCGGCACGACGATCACGACGATAACGTGTCGATAACCAGCCTGGGTTCCATGCTGACATGATAAGAGATCAGGCGGTTGGTCAGTTGACGTCAACGGCCAGCATGGCCAACAACCTTCGCCAATGCCAGATTCTGGTCAAGAAAGCAGTCCAAGCTGGTGCAAAGGTCAGTCAGTCATCTATTTGTCTGATGAAGATGGAGGTGGTGCATCAGATACTCCAGACTGTCCGACGCCATATGTCCATATCCTGACCACAACAGCACCGCTAGGCCCTCTTCCTCCCCGAGGCAACAGACTACATCTCCTCATCCGCCGAAGAGAGCCTCAGCCTCGTCAAGCCCGTGCAAGAAAGTGAGTTTGTCCTAGGTCTTCAAGAAGAGGCTCGCCGTTTTAAGCTGCCGATCCACGTCGGCGTCCACGAACCCAGCAGCCAGACCTCTTCCCAGCGCATCAAGAATACAGTCCTCTGGATCAACGAGCAGGGCGAGATTGCACATCGGTACCAGAAGATCCACCTCTTTGACGTGGACATCCAGGGCGGTCCAGTCCTCAAGGAGAGCCAGAGCGTAGAGCCCGGGATGAAGATTGAGCCGCCGTTCGAGACGGCCTTTGGCAAGGTGGCGTCGACTATCTGTTTTGATGTCAGTTCTCTCATCCCTTTTATCCCTCACTTCTCAAATTCACTCTACTCTGCAAAAGGTAGAAACTAGTATGTGGCTGACTGGACTTGTCTACTACACTCCAGCTACGTTTCCCGGAGATTGGTATTTCTCTCCGAAGGCAGGGAGCCGAGATCATTACCTACCCTTCAGCATTCACTGTTCCCACAGGGCAAGCGCACTGGGAGGTTCTGTTGAGGGCTCGGGCGATCGAGACGCAGTCGTATGTCATTGCTGCGGCACAGGTCGGTAGACACAACGAGAAGCGAGTCAGCTATGGCCATAGCATGATCATTGATCCTTGGGGGAGAATTGTGGCTAGTGTGGGAGAAAAGGCGGATGAGCCTGAGATTGCGACGGCTACCATTGATCTTGAACTGGTGAAGAAGGTTAGGGCGGAGGTGCCATTGAGGAGGAGGACGTAAGTGTCCCATTACTGATGTTCATCAGCAACACAAAAAAGGAAGTAGCTTGGAGATGATGCTGACTGACTCTTGTGGTAGGGATGTGTACCCGGAAGTGTAGCCGAGGGAGGCTAGTTACCTCTAGGCATAGCGTGGGTTTGACATGGTCCTGGAGGGATTCCCCCACGGTTGTATCACATCTGGGTTAATCATCACCAGAGCCCGGATTGACTGTCTTTCGACCCGATTCGTCGATAATGCATTGAAGGAGAACTTCGGTGCCGGCGGGTCTTCCCCCGAAGGCTAGAAAGGAAAGTATATTTAGGGAGACCGTGACGCAATAGCTTGGAGGTGCAGCCCCGGTCCAGTCCTCCCCCATCGTTCCCTTATTCGGCCACGAACCGTCACCCCAGGAACCGGTCCATGTCCGAAACTCTTTGAGTCAATCACCACCTACAACACAGTGGAAGGTTCATCACTGATGGCAAGTCAACGATAATTGAGGACAGCAAAAACGGAAGTGCCAAATATCGAAAGCGGTGACGTTCACCAACATCAGCCTCAGCCAATATTCAGGTGTTGAAATCCGCAAACCGACCGACCCACGATGGCCAAGACTGCGGATATTTCATCTCAAC